CCACTTTTTGCACATTATCCATTGTCAAATCAGATGCCAATGGTGGCCAACGAAGATTCAGTTTTGGTATATCTTGGACCTTTTGGCGAAGAATCAATGCAGCATTGTATAGAATTTGTAACTCATTGACTCTCGAATTTTCCTCAGTTTCTGTGTTGGAATTCAGATCATCATCATCAATGGTACCGGTGTAGCTCTCTTCATCAAAGTCTTCATCGTTGTTTTCTGACTTGTTTGACATATGTTCCTCAACCAATTCGGAAGAATCCAAATTTTCCACATATACAATCTCACTAACATTTCTCATTTTCGGTACTTAGAACACAAGTTGGGGATAACTTTTCATCAGTTGTTGCTTGAGTTTAAAAGCTCTATATTTAGATGCATCCACATTCTCGGTGTCCTTAGCAATGACAACAAATTTCTCCAGCAAATCTTTCATATACCTTATTTGCTTATTTGCAATGACCTCAGTCTCGATTACTTTCTTACAGAAGACATCATAAGACTTCTCGTACACTGATGTAGATCTTTCAATCTCCAATTGCTTCTTTGTCTCTCTGGTGAGAAATTTTGTATAATTGCAGTAGCAAACTTTGTGATAGGGGACTTCCAGTGCTACACAGTCTTTCCCCCGGATTTGCACAAGTATCCGTTCATCATTCTTTCTCTCGGCAGCTGTACGTAGAAGACCAGCATCAATTATTTCTGCCAACATGAGTGGGGTTCTTTTTCTCTTCTTAGTTACCTGGTGTGAACAAAACTATTAAACTAAATATCTGCTAATAACACAGTTGGATGTTTGTAGCATTAAAAACTATTTTACCCTAAATAAACTTAATTGACCACAATTCAAGATATTTTAAAACCAAACTCGAGAATGCTGTGCTACTAGTACACATTGCACTATTGCACTAGTATAATTATATCTATCAAAATGACCATACCTTGTCTAGTGAGGACCAAGAGGCGTCTCTTCCACAAACAATACATATCTCTGGACTCGTTTCTTTTAGGCAAGGTCTTATTAACGCCTGCGACTGATTGGCGTGTAATTTTTCGTCTTGGTTCTATTGGTTCCACTTCCACATGTAGTTCTTCGGTAGAAGTTACAGTTTTAGAGCTAGTTCCTTCTCCTTTTTCTTCTTTTCGCTGTTGTCTACGGATATTCTCTTCATCAGAAAATCTCTTCCAGCATTTCATACGATGGTACCATTCTAAGTTAATGCTGTCAGGGTTCTTCTCCTGTTCTCCATGTATGAATTGACAGATCCGTCATCGATGTTCTCGTACGATTTCTTAGCTATTTCAGCTTGTTGACATTTAAGTTTGGCCCATTTAGACCTACACTCAAGACATTTCTTAAGCCCTTGGCGTGTAACTTTGCAAAGTTGCTCCGTAACGCCAACAAAATGAATAAAACATGAGGATATTCGAGTTTTATAAATATTTTCAGCCATGATTGTTTTGCATAACTAAGCGTGTTTCCACTTTGAAGCATGTGTGTGCTTATGCGCGTGCGCAGTGCGAGTTTGGCTGACAAGCGCATGCGTATTTGCTACTAAAACAATGGCGGTTCGAATATTTCGAAGCGCGAATATATAAAACTTTGGAGGGATTGTTCTCCCAATTGTGCACCTGTTTCGCTTGGGGAACAACGGATTCTGATAAAGTAAATTTTTATCTATTGATTCATGTGAAAATTATGTAGTTCCACGAGGGGTGCAACGGAATCCGTTTTCTAAGCATCTTTTGGATGCTCATCCTACGGCCTAAAACCTCTTCGTTAAACCTCTGCTATTAAAGCGGGCCATGTAAACAGCCCGTAAACTGAGCATAAAACGTCTTATCGGATCAAAATGAAGCTGTGATTTTTTACATGATTACCATCCCCAAAACTTAAAACGTTATCTACTAAATATTATATGTTTTCCCCACTGAGAATTCCCCAGCAAAATTAGCCCTCAAAACTATAAGCCTTCGCTTGTTTATTTGCATTATTATATTGCGACTTCTCAACCTCGTGGTAGAATAAATTTACTCCGCCGGTCGCGAATTTACGCTCGTTCACAACAAAATTTAGAGCTTCCTACCTTGCATCGTCGCTAAATTCATACTTAGGAACATCCACACAGACATTTAACTGATTTAAGTGCTGTTCAAGCAAGTCAAAATCCAGTTTTAACAAAAACATTATTGCAAGCAAAGCCTGCATTGTTCAATGTTTTGTTTCTTCGCCGTGAGAAGACAAATTTGAGCGGGGAAAGAATTGACCAATCACAAAGCAATGTTTCATACCTCACGAAATAAATTTGCATATTTATGCCTGCTCTTCTCAATAGAGGTAGGGGAGGTGGGGGTGGGCCATGGGAACAAATTTAAAGTATTTAAACAGTTAAAGCTAGTTCAATATGTATAGATTGTCTTTTCAAAACATTAATTCAGTTATTTAATTCAGTTTGTAACCGTCGTTATGAAATCGTCATGATCCATGGTCCAAAGGCTAACGTCCAGGTTACAACATGCTCTTAATCAACAACGGGGTAAAATAGCAATTTACTTTGTATGCATGCCATGTATGCCGGTTTTTGAAAATCAAATCGATAAACATAGATTCTGTTTAAACGTTTTCATTGATGGGCTAAAACGTTATCAATACGTACTCATCTGCGGTTCAATCACTTCAATGTTTCCGTTTAGATAAAGTTTTTTTTGTACTATTATTCTACGTTTTCTACATCTCATCACGAGGTATTTAAAGTACCAAAATTTTTAGAGTACAAAATAGTGTTTGTACAATAGAGTGATAAAGTTTTTTAATTCGTAAAAGGGCCACGGTGTCCATCGCCAAGAACAACGCCTTGTCGTTTTGCCGTACACATTAGCTAAGTGCTTGATTTTCTTGTGGTTTCATTTCCGACTAGAACAACGTTTCCAAAATGCCAGTAATTTTTTATCAAATATCTCATAAATAAGAGGATTTATTGCGATCCAGCAATGCGCACAATAAGACCCAATAAGATAAGCAAATCATGGCCATGGGTTTCTCTATTCTATCACTTCTTAATGCTAATTGGTAAAAAATCCGTTTCTAAGCATCTTTTGGATGCTCATCCTACGGCCTAACGCTCTTTCGGGAAATTACGTAGTGTGTTCTTAAACCAGTATATTTTTTTGGACCTCAAAGTATATACGACAATCGACATGCCTCAAAAGGAGACTGAAACGGCTACGCATATATTTTCCTCTCTTGTCAATCACACTGTTGACATTCAAAATTGATTTGTAATATGCCTGCCGTTGTAATATGAACCGCACACAAATCCTGTAATCCGAGCCGCTTACAATTAAACAGTGCTCTTAATACTTGTCTGTTTACAAAGCGTTGGCAAGGACGTAACGAAGGGAAAATTGGCAAAATTCGTGACATTTATCAGGTAATCTAACGTGAATGAACTTCATTAAACGAACTGTATTCAACCTAGACGCCATTGTGGCTAGCTGTGAGTTCTGACGCCATCTTTCTTCAATGATATCGGTCTATTGTATGTCGTCGACAATTTGTAAACGTGCTGCCACTGGCAATACTGACGGCAAATGTCGAAGGCGAATATACAATGGCAAATATTCATTCGACTATGTTAACCTGCCATTGGCAGACGTCGAAGATAACCCGTCAAGGAATTGTTCAGAAGCAGCCAAGAATCCAGAGGAAAGAAAAAATGCATGGCGAAGGGAATTCACTGAAAAATTAGGGATTTCTATTCTTAACAAGGAAATTCACGAGCGGCTTAAAACCACCGAAAAAGCACAACTAGACTGGCTAACGCCGTGCTTTACAACCCTAAGCGATGAACCGAATTTGTCGATGCAGCGACGCTGTTTTTGCGAGTCAATTGGGCCAAGATTTTGCGAGGTTTGTCGACGAAAGGTGAATAAAGATCTGAGCAATAGAATACCAAGGATGATATGCGATTTGAGGAACTCTGATGACGAGGTATCTTTGCTGGAAAGGGCGGAATACTTCGTGACGCCTGAGCCAAAGTTCAGTAGACATCTTAAGCAAGCAACGAGTTTTTATCGAGCTGGGGGGTATAACAGTTCACAAGAAGATCGAACAGCTCCAAACACGGACGAAGATCAATATTTATCCACTAAACACCATCGAAAACATGTATCGTCCCGGGCGTCCAGCTATTCATCCCTGAGTTCCAACAATTCGGGAGATTCGAACGAGGTGCCTCAAAATAGTCCAAATATATCCCCAGTTATCCACGAACTACCAATCCTAAATACCTCGAATTGTTTTTCTGCTGTTAAATCTGATCATCAGCCTGTACTTACCCCCAGCAATATCAACTTACCTTCGTTACTACCAGCAGTGAAACGTGATGTAGATATCCACGATGATACTGTGAAATCCCCTGACATCCTTGTAATCGATGAACATATGCTTGCGGATACCCCTCAATCACCTGAGCTAACACCAACTGAAGCTGATATCACCTATGATTCACAAATTTTTCATATCACCCATGAGCTACGGAGTATACATGAACTCAAAGCCGAATCATGTTCCCCCAACAACACCGAAAATCAAAATGTGTTCCCAGTTATACACGAACATCCCTCAAACAAATTTGATGATGAGGAAAATTCTGCTCCACAAAGTGGAAACGTGTTAAGTTCATCAACCATTTCTCAGTCAGACAGAAGTTCAAAATCGCTCAAAAATGATACAAAACATACTCCAAGCACTGTCCTATGTGACGAATCTAATGCATTACCAAAGTTACCTGATCCTGTTGAACCAGTTCTACTGGAATTGAAGTGCATAAATTTTAGCATATATGATTATGATTGCGAATTGGATAAATGAATGTAGGTAAGCTTGCCTGTTTGGTTTTGTCGTGGAACTGAATAGTTCAGGGAGGACGTAATCTGTTAATTTATACATCATATTTGAACTTGTTTTATTAATAGTTTAATTAAATCCCTGTTTTGACACTCCGTGTTCATATTACTGAGGTGAATATATAAGTAATTCTATAGGTAACTATCTCGACTGTAGTGACACTAGTTAATACCCCTCTCTCCCTTCAACTCAAACTAAAGGTCTTCATTATCACATTAACTTTCAGGGAACAAGGAACTTTGAATTCCCTGCCTCGTTCCAGCCCCCTCCCCCCCATACTCCTATAATTAGGCCACGTGCGTAACTGTAGAGGTGGTTCAAGCCAACTTGATATGGCCAATTCATTTAGACATAATAGCTATACAGAAACAACTCATTTTTCCACACAATTCTCAAGTGATTTCTGATGTCTGCTGAGTTGCGTTGACTGACTGAAGCTCTTTCCGCATTTTCGACATTTGAATGGCCGTTCTCCCGTGTGCGTCCTGATATGATTACTGAGTGTCGTTGAGCCGCTGAACGTGCGCCCGCAGTATCCGCATTTGAACGGCTTGTCACTGACGTGATCGACCACGTGACCCCGAAGCTCATCAGGATTCGAAAACGAGGCTGTGCATTGACCGCATTGGAAAGGCTTCTCGGGCGTTTTATCGCAGACATGCATTTGTAACGCTATACGCTGACTGAATGTCTGTTCACATTGACCACATCGCCAAATATGCGTCTCGTTGAACGAACTTAAGCCAAAATATTCGCTTGCTTGTACCTCGCCAATCTAAACAGATTAACCGATTGATTGATCAATCGATTGATTGATGAATCGATTGATTGATTGATCAATGATGGAATTGGAGGATTGCTTGATTGATTTGTTTTAAATTGCTCCCTTCAGCGAATTTCATTTTGTTAGCATCACAATGCAAAATTGCCAATTTTTTTGGACATTTACCTGATCAATCTTTTCCATCTCTGTACGTCGGTAACCTTTTTCGTAACCATGGATAGCTGAAAAGATCGAAAAAAAGAGTTTTTAATACTTTTTTCCGCGATTCGATTATTATCTATCTCATGCGCAGGATCATGTACGACTAATTGAGCTGTGCGATTACATATTTTCGCTTCGAAAGGCGTTTGGACAGGATAAAATGAAGTCGTGGCATTGCTTCAAAATCATAAGAGCGATTCGGGAATAATATTTTACCTGGCACCATGGGTGGAACAGCTTCAGTACCAGCCATGGATATTCGCTCTATATCCATGCTGTCAGAATATCTATCGTCATACCACACCAACAGTTCCGTGTACGGCACGATATCTCTAAATGCACGGTAGTACAGATTTCCAGCGTATTGAAACACAGTCATGTTCTGTTCCTCTTTATGTCGGGCGCACTGAATCATGCTCATCCAGTTTGAAAATTTCGCATCGTTGCCATCGACATAATGACTAAGCTTGCCATCTTTGTAGATCTACAGGAGGGCGAATTTTCAATAATAATTTCACTTTATCGCACAAGAACTATATATAATCAGTACATATAGTCTACAATTATAGACGCTTATACCTCCCACATGTGTCCATTGTCCCGGTCGGCAGTTAGTTCCTCGGGTCTAACCACCTCTCCCTCGAAAGGTCCGATCCAAGTTCCAACTGGGATGAATCTCGAACAATACACGCCAAAACTACTCCCGGGTATGGTGGATACGCAGGGAAACATCCCGGGGGGATATTTTACATCTTTGATTTCTTTAACTCCTTCTGTAACAGAAAGAGACACACACAATGATAGTGCACCAGGTCTTTGTTAACGTTGTTCGTCGGGTAACATAATCATTTCAACTATACATAGCTGAGTACTAAGAATTTGGCAGCGGGCAACAATTTTTCACTTATTGGCGGAAAACATTGCATTTGTTTAAAGTCATGTGACTACGAATGAGCCAATCACATTTAAGATACACAGCACCTATATAACAAACATTTTTACTGTAGCAGTTTATCAATTTGTTTACCTTTCAATGGCTGAACAAGCTTTGAACTTCTTCCGTACAGATAAAATTCTAGCAGTTGAGATGAAAACATTTCATCTTCGCGGTCATTTCGAGGTCGCTTTGGCGAGCCGGCGGCATTGTCGTTGATGCTTGGTGATTGAACTGATGGCGAGCATGCAGATTTTGGAGAATGCCGTTTTCTTTTCTAAAACAGAAAGATAAATATGTCGACATCAAGCTTTTGCATTCGTGAAGACTAAAAACTGAAATCTCTGTAGCGCTTCCAATCGTTCTTGAACATCGAGCGAAATTTGTCTTTTCTTTCTTGAATGCAAAATAATCTCAACCAGTTTATGTGAAGGATTTTCGCGTTCTAGTGATATAGTGATATACAAGAATGTTTCCTGGGACAGTATACGATACTCTTCTAAATGGTAAATAATAATTGGGAAAGTGTGAACTCTGTTCGTTTGTACATTTAAATAGCTAAGTGTCAGTAATAATGCTATTCGCATTCATGTTGTGAAGTAGTTTCTGAATTGCATTCAAACGTAGAAATTAGTATTCAAGTCAACATTATTAGCCGTGGGTATTAGGTTGGTATTTTATAGCTGTGGGTATTAGGTTGATATATGCGTGGATGACAAATTTTGGACATCGTCCAAATCTCCGCTGAGATAGCGGGTTTCTAGGATCTTAAGAACATAACAAACATGGAATAATTGAAAAATACTTCAAAGGAACTTAAGTTTACGTGGATAGTTTTGTCTGCTCTATTTGAAGATACGTGATGGAATTTGGTGTCAAATATAAGGCTCTATTAATTAGGCCTGTAATGACCAGGTAACTTTGCGTCTCCTTGATGAAACAACACTTGTTTTTACAGATAGCTTTCTATATGTTATTGTAATCACTCCACATTTCACAATATAGGCTAGAAACGTTACATACATGAAAGCAATTTAAAATGGACATGCACAGCTATATCAAATAAACCCGGATATCCTGAATATTAAAACAAAACAAGCAACTATATTTATAATATGAATCGTTAACAAGGATTTAGGAAAAGCTTTCTCGATACTAACCTCATCTCGTTTGCACTCCATCGTTATGAAACACAAAACACGACAGGCTATTCAGCTAGTGATGTCTTTCCGACACAGGCAAGTATTGCATGTGTAAACACAAAGTTTCAGCCGTCAGTAACGCCGACTTGCAAAAAACACCTAAATGTTTAAAAACAAACGGCACGTTTTGTTTTTTCGGCGTACTGTGTTTTGGTTAAAAAACTATTAACTACCTGCCGCAGAAAAAACAACCGCCAAAATTGACCTGCAAAAACATAATTTCTTTACGTTTGTCGCAAAACAAAAACTATACAAAGAATTATACACTCTGATGAATGATTTCAAATGACACATCGAAATTACTTAGTCTTAACGGGCGAAAATCACGGTCGGTGACATTTACGTAAAGTTTGGAGAAATGGCTGTAAATTGGGTTATTTAAAAGAAGATTCACTGAGAATGTTTGTATTCCTCCAACGCAGACATAGCGCGCAAACTTAGATGTGCGTTTATTGTTGGGCAAATTCTTAATGAGTTATCGCGTCCTATTGATATTTATATCACTCGCTCGTGCATAGAACGTAATACGATTGTCCAACGCTAAACCAAATTTATAGCGGTGGTAACTGACTAAGTGTAGTGTATTACATGGCAAATACACTTAAATTCGGTGTCTTTATAAGACGCGCGGATGTTCGCTTAAATCAGCTCAGTGGCGTTGCCAGCCTGACAACTTTGTCCTGCTATGTAAATTTCGAGTTATAATTATTCATGCATGTCTTTAGAAATTTGTTGATTTCACAGTCAATGAACACCAAATATTAGCATTGCGGGACAAATCGTCAGGATAGCTACGCCACTGAATCACTGGGCATTTGTTTGCCTAAAAAGGCTCGTCGAATATCATAAAATTATGATATTTGATTGATATGATAAAATATTTAATAGATATAATAATTTTGTAAAAATAAGACATTTCATAGCCATAGGTCGATTTCAAGATGTAGAGAATGTTTCGACTGCGAAATGTTTTCATGTTTTCTTTCAGAATTTGGAAAAAAAAAGCTCGATTTTAATTTGCTAAATCGTTTACGAAATATTTGCATATCTTCATATGAATTGAAATCAGTCAAGTTAAACGAATTCATTGATTATAAAGCTTAGCAAATTCCGGCTTTCTTCGCAAGTGGAAGTTCATGCTAAGTTTTTCAACTCAGTGTTTAACCTGATTGCTTAAAGCTCAATATATTTCGCAAAGAAATGTGTAAATATTTCACTACAAGAAGAATAATACTAATTTGATGTGATTGGGTAAAATATATACTATATGTGAGTATAAATACGTGTAAACTTTCTTAATTCCGGCTGTTTAAACAGTAAACTCTCCTAGAGTTGATGACATTAACTTGTAGTTTTGAATACTATCTCTCAAATATCATCTTAACTTGCATGATATTTTGTTTAGGTTAAGATTAGGAATGATAAACAATTCTTTCTCTTCTTGGTAGACAGTAGCCAGCCTGTCGATTTGTCCCGCTATGCTAATATTTTGCTGTTCACTGGCTGTGAAAACAATAGATTTCTAAAGACTAATTATAATAACTCGAAATTTACATAGCGGGACAAAATCGTCAGGCTGGCTACGCCACTGTTGGTAGATGCATGCAGCTAGACCTAACAAATCCAACGAAATAGCGAAATTATATATGATAAATTGACTGTGATAAATAGACAGCGGGTCTGAGCGGGGATGCCCGGCCACACATCATGTGCTAATTGACTAAAGCCGGTTTTCCACTAGGCGAAATTTTTGGCTCGATTTTCTTTTTAATCGTGAAAATCCGCTGCAGATTCCCCTCACCGGTCACAATTGAATAGAAAATCTAGCGAAAAATTTCCTTTGATCGAAAAATTCCACCTAGTGGAAAACCACCCATATGCATTTATATAAAGATGTTATAGAAGTATTTATTCATAAGAATACAGGATGATAGCGTCTATAAAGACGCCAAAAACGAACCCTTTCGTGTACCGAACATAATGTTAATGTCTCTTACATATCCCGTCTTAAACGCTTGTGGGATATTACATATATCTATTCCTTTTATTTAATGATTTTAATTGTACTATCGTAAAAAATCTATTGCAATCGAACACATATTTAAAGAGCCGAGTTAAGATTGTATTCCCCGATTTACAATTTATATCTATTCCTATATCGTTAACTAGACAACCAAACGTCTATTTAAGTAATGTTCCAATGTTTTTTTGTATAGTCGTAAACATTTTTTTCACTGCTCATTAATAAATCACGACCAAATTATTGACGGCATGTTTTGGCGAATAACGCACAAAAAATTCCTCTCATTTTTATCTATCGACAAAGCTTTTGTGCCATCCTTCTGGAAGAATTTTCAAATTTCGTTGTCGAGGTGAAAAAAATCAGGAAATTTAAGTCTGAATGCCGTAAAACGAGTTCGCGTGACAGCAAGGAGGAACTGTACATTCGGTTGGGTTATAAATTATGAATAGACTAACATTGATTTTGGTTAAACAAAGTCTATAATTATACCTGAATGCGTGCTATGTACCGATATACGCATGAAGTTTGCTAGTGCATAAAGAAATTTTGATACAGTTCAGTTCAGTTCAATTCAGTTCAGTGCAATCCAGTTCAGTTCAGTTCAGTTCAGTTCAGTTCAGTTCAGTTCAGTTCAGTTCAATTCAGTTCAGTTCAGTTCAGATTCGATAGCTATACTTTCATAAATATTTAATAAGGGTAAAAAACAATTTCATTACAGTTGCAAAATTTGCTTGTTATCAGGTGCCGCCATGCATTGTTTATGCACGCTCCAAATGCGAAAATACTATCGTTTTCAGTCAAAACAAGGCCGTAAAATATCATGAAGAGAGCAAAGAGCTCAATATATAACTAGAAGACAGTATGGTCGAGCGAAATTTCATTTTGAATTTTCGCTTTACCAAAAAAAGGCGAATTAAAATAAACTATTCGATATTTATTATTGGCATAAAGTTGCGAGATTACAAAGTTTGTTTGGAAGATAGAATACTGAAATTTAAAAAAATATGCACCCTTAATAAAATTATACACCCGTAGAACAACAAGCTAAAAACATGAAAATCAAGACTAAATTTTCTATTCGTTATTGTTATAGATCTTCTAGACTCTAATGGATAACGACGCCATATTTAATCACAATGTATTATGGTCCACTATGCAGATGAAAGTAAATGCGTAGTTGTTGGTCATACAAGCATTGGTGAGTGTTTTTTTAGTACGGAACCCGTACGACTTAAACAACTGTCTGTCAGCTTATATACGGCAACAACAACACAGAGCAAACAATTACCTGACCACAATTGACTACTATACTAAGATGGCTTAGAAACAGTCTACTTTATTGAAATCTTTAGAAAAATCTCATTTTGATGAAAAAACCCCGCAGTTTAATTACAATCAGCTACTTTGAGAGCAGCTAAATTTACAAAAAAATCAAGGCATTCAAGCGGGTTTTTTCACCAAAGGTTCTCCACCGTTGAATCATTTATTCATGATTGGAATAATCATCACCATCCCCGATAGGCGGCTGTGCTTCCTGTCCAGGTTTTCGCTCGAAAGTACTGTATGCTGGATTCTCGAAGTGCTGGATACGACTTAATTGCAGCGTCTCGGTACCACCCGATGTGTCGTATAGAGGATTCGCAGAAATCTGCAACTCGTCCTCATTCTCATCGAAGCCATATATGGGATTCATTTCTCCGCCCCCATTGGTCGAGACGTGATCACGAGACAAGCCGTCACGATAATGTTTGTCGCCCTCTTCCGGTAAATTCACGTCAACGTATCGCTCGCAATTTCGCGAAGTTTTCTGAGCGTTCAGCCGCCGAGATTTTTTGGCGTAGCAAACGTAAAGCACGACAAATACTAACATGGCCGCACCTAAACCACCAAGCAAGTAAATCGACCACCGGGGTAATACGCTTGAATGGTTAGGACTATACAAATTTCCTAGACTTGCATTTTGACTTTTACATTTCAGTTCTTCTACATTCTTGACGGTCGGGCAGAGGTAGTTTCTAAAGCGGAAATTGTTGGATGTATAGTATGCATATAGTTCGAGCTTCCCGGAGCAATTCATACTTCGATGAAGAGAACAAATGAACCCGGTTCTAGAGAGAGCCTTCTTTCCAACTCTGGCGATCATGGACACTGAGATGTTCCGAGCGTTGATAGTAACATCGTCCAGAATGCTCACATCACTCAAATTGTAATCGCCTTCCTGGTTGAAACTTTTGGCGTATGTATACCAAACTTGAATAACCTTTTTCAGCCAATCTTCGAGTTCGATTCTCATCGCGGCGATGACTTCAACGTCGTGGATGCTGACCCCTCCTTCTTTTAAAATTTTCAGTAGATCCTTATCAAAGTACAGCTTGATCAAGTTTTCACCGCCAAAGCAATCGTCGCTGCTTTCTGGGACTTCTTCTTCGTTGGAGTTTCCATTTTCACGCCCTTCCGATTCCTTTCTACGAGTTTTCCCCTCGTTGGAATTTAATGGCCACGGGACATAAATCTGTTCATCCGGGCATTTGTCTTCGTTTTCTCCCACAAAACGCTCGCATCGCGAGCCCATGTAGCCCGCATTGCATTTGCACTCATACGATCCTAAAGAAGAAATATTAACAATAGGATATTGATGTCCATGCGTTCGTTCATTAGACTTCAGCGAAGGCTTCCAGTAATACTTTTGTGAACAACGTGCTAAACAACTGGCCTAAAATAGACAAAAACACTTCTCGGCGTTCCGTTTTAATATTATATTAATCGACCTGGCGAAGGTCCTTAGTTCGAAACGTCAAGAAGTGTCCATTTCAGGCAGATGTTATGTGTATGGTTGTTACGCTTCTCCTTGCCCGTAGTTTGACTAAATTGCCCAAATTCTATTAAAAATATTAATACAGATTAATACATTCAGTCCTCAATTAAGACTGAAGGCCTACCGATATGATCGATGCATTCACCGTACGGATGACAAGGTTGAGAAAGACAATCGTCGATGTTTGTTTCACAAAGCCAATCCGTGAATCCTCTATCGCAATCACACGTTATGTTATTAATCCCGTCTGTACACGTGCTATGTCCTTCATTACAACTGTAATTGAAGTTCCCTGCTTCGCATTCATTAATATTATGGCCGCAACGAGTACCATTATACCCGGCCGGGCAATTGCAACTGAAAGTCAAAACATGATCGTGACACGTTGCATCGTTTATACAAGCATCACACCGCTTTGCACCCCGTTCACACGCAAGGCATTCCGTTGCGTTTCGTTCGCACGCAAGACACTCCGTTCCCTTCTTCTCGCAGGCAAGACAGGCGGATTTATTTACATGATCACAGGCAGGACAAATCGTTACATCTTCACCTTCGCAATATTCAGAACTCAAGCAATCATCGATGTTGATGCATTTGTATCCGTCTCCTTCGAAGCCGTCCAGACATGCGCACGAGTATGTGAAGCCATCAATCCTACCACAACTTGCGTTTACACTGCAGTTGTTCACCGGGAGACATGGATCGACTCTGGAGACGTGGACAAAAACACTACCATTGAACGACTTCGGCGGTTCGCCATTGTCCGAAACTTGAACTAACACTGTGTAACTCGAACTGATATCATAATTTCGGAATGGCTTACTCAATATCAGGTATGATTTATGCAATTCAAATTTACGTTGCTTTACTCCGAATTTAGTCAAAATCGGAGGATCGAAGGTGACGTTATACGGTTCCTTGACAATCTCAAAAGGAGTTCCGCTCGATATCAAAGTGTATTCCAGCACTTGCCACTTCTCTGGGTTATTGCAGACCAGTTCGCTGATGTTCGTACCTACTTTCGCAGTTTCTTTGAATGTGATGTCCCCAGGACTTAAATGAATCTCATTCGCGCCTTCGTTAACTTCGTTCACGGTGATATTGAGATTCTTGGTCAATGATAACCTTGGCTGGCCGTCGTCTGTTGCTTTGATTGATACATTTATGAAAGGAGAATCCAGTTTTTCGTAGTCAAGTTTTGCTTTTGAGATCACCTTCAAACTCGCGTTCCTTGTAACCTTAAATAAACATTGGATTATGGTTCTCATTACCAAAACACGGAAACAGAAGTTCATCTTTTGTGATTTGATTTGGAACCTATCTTCGGCTCAGAAAACTAAATTATGTCATTTTGTTCTATTAGCTATTCCATGAGTAAAATTTACATCGATTTCAACTCTTAAGTTCGTACCTATCCTCAGTTTGAACAGCCAAACCGAAAACACCCTTACAACTTACATTGAATGTCTCTTCAAATTGCCCGATGACTTGGAATGAACAAGTTTGCTCACGATCAGGATCTTCGCACATCAAATCTCCGAGTGAATAACCAACATAAGCGATCTCGTCCACAGCGAATGTGCCGTTTAAGTACAAATTAACGGGCGCCTCATTTACATCTGTTATAATGATTGTGAATGTTTCTGACCTCGATAATGGTGGATCACCGCTGTCCGAGCAGTTCACTTTTACTAAACCAAAAAAAACAAATAATTTAGTTTCAAACAGGATTCCATAAGAGGCTTTTACTTTTATTCTAGCAACGTTTCGAACGGTTAACGGTCCGTCTTCAGGCTATACCACTTGTTAAATGTTGACGTGTCCATTGTTTAATAAGTTGTATAGCCTGAAGACGGACAGTTAAACTGTTCGAAAAGCTAAAATAAAAGTAGAATGATAGAGATATATAGTATTCTTACAAATTTGCAAATGTAGAGCTTTCTTACTTTAAAACTTACTTGAAATCGTACTGTTTCTTTCATGATTAATTACCGAGCCTTTCTTCACACAAAGAGACCAGTTCTGATCAGGTGTTTCATCCATGATAAATAACTCTGAATCTTCAACAACACAAATGTGGGTCTGGCCAATATCATCATCGAGGACCTCGAATACGATAGCAGTCTTTCCTTGTGTGTTCTCGTCCAGTGATAAGTTCGACAGATTTCTGATTTCGTAGGGTTCGTCGTTCACATCGAGTATTTTCACTGTTATATTTTCCTAAAACAGCCATAGAATTCTATAAAACGGGCTTTCCATCAAAAATCTGGTCAGTGAGCGAAAAAGGTTTGAGAAAGCGAGTTTTTAAGGGGAATTTCTTCGACATGCTGTAATGTCGCAGGTGTCGTGTTTTATACCTGGATAGACATCGTTGGATTTCCATTGTCAGTGGATCGAACGAGAATTACAATTTCAGCTTGTATTTCAAAGTCCAAGCGATCTGATTCTTTCACTAGCAGCTTGCCTTCGCTGATGCGAAATGTTACTGGAATACACAAAGATCTCACATTAATTACAGTTGAACTGTTGTAATAGAGAGAAAGTTATTAGATTCGATGTTAAGAGTTCAAAGACTCAACTTACAGTTATAGTCAAGCAAGGTGTAGTTGTGAGTGTCGTGTTGATCAGGGTCATCTGTTATAAAGTTTCCAACAACAGTGCCATTTATGGCGTTTTCATTCACTCCCGACGAATTGAATCTCATGGCGACTGGTTTGTCGTTCATATCAAGAATCTGAAAAAGGATTAAATTAAACATACTAATAATTAATCTTTGTTTTGATCGATATACTTGTATTAACTGAAGGATTTGTAAACAGGCTTGGCGACGGTTGCATGGGAGTAAATACCTTAATTTTAAATTGTTTGGTTTGGTTCAGAGATGGTATCCCATCATCCTTGGCGACGACGCTAATCGAATAACTATTCTTCTCTTCATAATCGAAAACTGCTGATGTCAGCAAGCTGTTACCGTTGATGAAAAATTTGGACGAGTCCCCACTTTTGTCGGTAAATTCGAACCGTATTTTCTGCAAAACAGAAATTAAATTGAAAATTTCGTCGATCTAATCGACGTAGTGCAACATCTGAATAAAAATTGGCGAGAGTACGAACGTCTTTAGCGTCCTGGTCCAAAGCAACCAGGGTGCCGACCAATGTTAGGTTCGGCTGATTTTCTTGAACGGATTCACCATTTAATATCGTTAGATTGTAAGGTGCTTCGTTGACGTCTGTTAAGAGAACTCGAAACGATCGATAGATGTAAAAAGTTGAATTGCTAGTTTGAGTGCAGTTGACCTGAAGGAACAAAGAAAATTAAAATAAAATATAAATAAAACAAAAATATAAACATCACACCTTAATGAATTTAACGAGGATATTGGGTGAATATTTTGTGTGATTTAATCATTAGCGACAATAATACTAAAATCCCCATACAGCCTAGTTTGCATTCGGTTGTAATAAAACAACTAAATACATGGCCAGATGCATGGAACTTAAACTTGATTGATAGACATTTTGTGAATGTTTACCTTCACAGAAAATTCCGACTGTGTTTCGAAATCTAAGTCAGCTTTTGACACAACCAATTGTATTTGTGATACCTAAAAAGATGACGGTGCATGAATAGCTTAATACATTTTTTCTTCTATCTTTCTTGCGTTTGTTTCGGCGGTGTGCAGTAAAATTGGCACAAATACGGAAATTTTAGCCTGGCACAAATATGGAAATTTCAAACCAACGTACTTTGAAAGGAACGTTGTTTACAACGTGACAAGTGTAAAAATGTTTTTCTTCATTGACGTTGTCGGGATCTGAAACATTAAGATTTCCTACCAACGAATCCACGGCGCTGTTCTCTTCTATCTGTAATACGTATTCATTTTAGTTTGAAAATAATATTGCAATAATTAAAATTAAATGACAAAATACCATAAAACTTGCCATATTCTACATGAAGTACCATGTACCGATCAACTTAAAACTATGTACCTTGCCGTACATGTATTAAACTATATACCAACTACAGTATATACCATAGTATACCATATGCTATATATCATATAACAATATACCTTGAAGCTAGATTTACGCTACGTGCACGATCATGAAATTTTTTGCCGCGTATTCGCTGCACTAGTAGACTCTTTTTATATTCACCGGTGACACGGTTTATATCTTTTAATTATTATTCGCGAACATCACGCGAGACCACACGCGAAGAAAAAATGGCGGGAGCAGTGTTGTTGTTTGCGTGAAATCAAGAAATGGCCGATTTTGACGAGGAAACAAACCATATTCTCGACAAGACAGACACAGAAAACACAAAAAAGTTGAAGTAATCTTAAAATATGTTCGACGGTAATTTATCTTACGCCTTGTGTCAGTACATTTACCGGTTTTTAGAAATATTTTTACGAAGCGTTGCCAATTGTATGTGTGGCTATTAAATTTACAAGCTTAGAATATTTTTTTGGTATAATATATCATTTCGGGAAATATTTCGTCGAGTTCCTGTCACTCTGGGTGCATAAATGATAAGTACAGCTATAGAGTGTCTTACCAAATAGAAAGATATAACATAATACGTTAAAAACGTTTTTTGTGCTTGCATGAGCACAAGTATTATTATAATACTCCCTTCAATACCTTGTTCTTATCAAGCGTGAGGTCATTTGGTGCTTCGTTGACATCGAGGACATCGAGGGTAAACGTTTTGTTAAAGGTGAATTGTGGATACCCGTTGTCTTCAGTCATGATCTCCAATTTGAACCCCGTAACAGCCTCGTAATCGATATAAGAAGCGACTGTTAGCTTTCCTGATATTGGATCTAACTTGAATGCTTTTTGATAACCAGAAATACTAAAGAGAGAAGATTTTAAAATTTACTTTTCCCAAATGATGTGTAAAATATAAAAACAGTCTTTATAAAAACAGTCTTACATGTTTGATCTAGGGCCAAAAGCAGTGATGCTCTTTATGAAATATCGATGTGTTTGACTGACGTCTTGATCCACTGCAGTGAATACTGTAACAGATGAGCCGAGGTCACTGTTTTCAAAAACAGCTAACGGTACGCTTATCGAAATATCGGTCGGGCGGTCATTAGTGTCCTTTATGGTAATTCTAAAGTCCTGAGTTAAATTCAGACCTAGAGAAAAGACGTAAGAAGTCATTGCTTGTTGCCTGTTCAACGGCTATTTTACCATAATTTTGGGATCTTTGGCTTTATGGCATATCCTGTGTTGCAGGGCTTCAGACTCAGAGTACTAAATAGGAAGTCAAAGAGATAAGAACATAATTTAATTTTTTTTCCAATCATGTCTTCTTTTGAACCCTTCACCACTGAGCTTGGAGGACGTTCGCCAAGGAGGACGCTGCTTGTCCGTTTAGCAAGGCTGACTTCAATTTTATGAAGATCAACTTTGCCACTAAGATTACTTTGAAATCTTTATTAATGTCAAATCTTACCTCCTTGATCAACAGTGTTAATTACTAAATGCCACAAGCTTCTGCTCTCGTAATCCAAACTTGAGTACGTCTTGAGTTGACTTCCATTAATATAAAACATATTTTCCTCGCTTGCTGATACCAAGAAATACTTGAACGACTGGGCTTTATCCGGGTCTATGGTATTTAATTCCCCTACGAGCAAAGGACCCCCGTTTTCTGAAACCACCTTGTTCGACAGCTTTATCTGTTCTGGCCTTTCATTGATGTCGAGAACTTGAATGTCGAATGATTTTTGTATAGTCAAAGGCTTCGAACCAGAATCGAGGCATCTTATTATAATACCGTGTGTAGTTGATTGTTCGTAGTTAAGGTCGCCCGAGGAGACTAGTAACGAGTTTTGGATATTAAAGCGATCTTGGGCCGAGTCGACGAGTTGGCATTTGTGCGTCTGCCAGACACCCTTTGTTCCGCGGTTGTCAGGGTCGTCAATGGTGATATTAGCGACCAGAGTTCCGCTTTGGCTGTTTTCATTGATGGTTAAACCGCTGAGAATGATATTACTGGGAGGTTCATTCACGTCTTCGACCTAATAGAGAAAATATCAATATAATAAATATATGCGTTATGACTTTGTTTGAGGACAGTGCATGTTTTCGATTGGCCAATAAGCCAGTAGGCCAATCGGCATTCATCTAGCCTACCCGACAGCCATCTCCTTCCCTTCTGCCTGCCAATTTAAAGGTGATGCCTTCAATTAACATGATTACGACATACCTCAATAGTTAAGTTCTGTTTGACACTCTTCGGAGGGTAGCCGTTATCTGTAGACATGATTACAATCCTAAATTCCTGTTTCTCTTCATAATTTAGATTCGCTCCCTGTGACGTATACAGCTTGTTTCCTTTTATGGTAAACCTCGTACTTCCTTTGAGAGTGTAGACGTGAGACTGGGAAACATCTTCATCTGTAGTCACCAGCTCACCGATCAGTTTATTGTTCGCGTTCTCCCTTACCCGACCGGTCAAAGAACCCTGTATGGTCACATTTTCCGGTTGGTCATTTCTATCCAGCAAAGTGATCGTGAAATTACTGACACGTGAGTGGTTGCCATCTGAGACCTCGACAATTATTTCATGGGAGGGTATGTCTTCGTAGTTTAGATGACCACTGACCACAAGTTTGCATGTACATATTGTTTTAATATTTAGGTTTGAAGTGTCATTATGGCAGCTTATGGTACTTGTATCAACAGAAAAACGCCCACCTGGACGAACAGAAAAACATGTTTAGCAAGTCGTGCTAATTTCGGCAGAACAAGAAGAAAAACAAGCGGAGAGAAGTATAGAGGTAAGGGGAGGGGAGTACGAGGGGTAAAACTCGGGGCAAGTAATGAGCGGTGGGCGTGAGAGTAGGAAAAAATGAAGAGAATGAAGGTGAAGGAATAGGGAAAAGTAGGGAAAAAAGTAGAGAAAAGTCTACCAGCGTCATCATTCAGTGTGTACATCAAATTCTGTCCAGCGTCATGATCTAGAGAAACCAAAGTTCCCACAACCGTGTCCATTGCAGAATTTTCGTTAATCGTCGCGTGGTCGTCGGAATACGATTGTTGACCGTCAGTTGACGTTAAACTTGTGTTCACCGGAGCTTCGTTAACATTCTTGATGATGATCGTGAATTTCTTTTTCATCTGAAAAAAGGTCGCGATAATTTGTATGGAAAAATTATCAAATGCATCACAAACCATGTTTGCAGCAACGTTCGCAAAGAAATATTCGTTTTGAATTTTTCAAGAATTATTTTTTCGCCACACTTTTTGCACACTTCAGCTTTTTGAGGAAGAGTTAAAAATAAATCTCGAAAAAAATGACTCAACTATTGCGGGCTAAATATGTAATTGTAAATATTATCCTTCCACTAGGGTTTATAACTGTCAGTTTAATTCTTCAGTTAATTTATACACTTGCTTTCTATTCTAAGTTTAAAAGTTGTGTGTAGTTCTCAGTGTAAACTCGCACTTTCTTCATATTTTAAACTACTACATCATGAGTACTAGCTACAGTTCAAATACACTCCCTCTTACCGATTTTGGAGGAACACCATTGTCTGTTACCTTCACAGTAACATGCACAGTGCTGGATTTCTCGTGGTCTACGGGCTTTGCTACGTGCAATCGACCGTTTGTCTCGACCCCGAACAGACCCCGACCTCCCTGCACTAAAGTATAGCTCATCGAGTTCTTGTCCTCGTCGGAGGCCGTGAAATAGCCGACGGTAGTATTCAATACGACATTCTCTTTTACCCAATACTTTGACAGCGCCAGATCACGTGGTTGATCGTTGACGTCATCAAGGGTTATATTAATTCCCATCGTTAATTGCTGCGGAGGCGTCCCGTCATCCGTCGCGCGTACAAGTATTGTGTAAAAGTTGTCCGCGCCTTCGTAATTCAGGAGACAACTTTTCCCGCCATGCAGCAGGCAGCCAGTGTTTGAGATGGCTACCCTGATTTCGGAGTTGTTAACCAGTTTGAATCTACCAAAAGCGCTGTCTAGTAAAGTAAATTGATGAACTTGGCCAAAGTCTTCATCGGTTGCACGAAGTTTACCAACCAGCTGTCCTTCATCGGAATTTTCTTTGATATTCTTGGGTGAGAGATTAATATTTGATGGACGCTCGTTCACGTCTAGAATCAGAAGAAAGAATATTGTCCATTTGGAAATGGCAATTAACCCTAGCGGTTGTATTTTAAGGCAATCTGTACGAGATTATGAATCAAGACTCTCATATTCAGAGTGTTGTTTACTGACCTTGTACTGAAATGACAAAACTGCGCTTGACACTCAAGGGAGGTGTTCCAGTATCACGAGACTCGATGGTAATGTTCCACAATGATGCAACTTCATAATCCAAGGTTCGCGTGGTGATCAAAGTGTCGTTATGGTGAATTTGGAACGGTAAATCTACGCCTGGATCTGCGATTAGCTGATATTGGAAACTCTGTCTGGTACTGACGATGTTATTGTCTGGATCGATCGTGGAGATTGTGGCTAAAATACAGAATGCTGAATTCAATCCAAGGCTTAAAAAAGGAGGTAAAATCAGAGAAAAATAATTGACAGAATAGCATGACGAATCGGTATAATAAGACATTGATAAAGACTGGCAATCAAAATTAAGGACCTCATTGCCTGAGGTCTAAAAGTATAAGGCCCAATAAGGAATGCTACACTTGACTGTAACAGTTTTTCAGTGAGTTGAATATTACAGGGCTTAGTACAGAAATTGAAAAAGATGAGTTTTATAATTTTTTCTCCAGTCTCAACGGAGTAAATCAGACCTGTAAATGGTCACAGGACATTGAATATGGGTGCGGAAAAAAGAAGAAAGACGAAAAGAACGAAGTATAGACATTGCAATCATTCACTTTATGAAGGAAAACAAGCACTTACCAATGACAGCTTTGTCGCGATTCTCCAGAACCGTCAAACCTGACAGAACAATGTCACTTGGCGCTTCGTTAATGTCCCTTACAATCGCAGTAAAATCTTGAACAAGTTTCAACGTAGGAGACCCACTATCTGTGCACTCTATGGAAACATTGTAAATAAAAGGTGTTGTTTCATAATCAAACGCCATGCTGCTCACCAAACGCCCAGAATCGATCTTAAACTTATTGTGATTAGCCACGACGCATTGATGGGTTTGTCTTGGGGTGACGATGTTATCGGGATCATTGACAGTGACGTTGGATATCACAGTCCCGGGGGGTGAGTTTTCAAATATTTCTGTACTTGAAAGCTCAATGAGCGTTGGTGCTTCGTTAACGTCCGCCACAAGGATCGTAAAATTTCGCGAAATCCCATATGCTGGTTCTCCATTATCAACTGATGTCACTGTGAGAATGTACTTCGATTTTTTCTCATAGTTCAAATATCTCCCTTGGCTAACATAGATTCGCGTTCCGTTCACCTGAAACAACCCTGCGTAATCATCCAGCAAATCATATTTCCACTGCTGTGAACCATCTTCGTCGCTCGTTTGCAGTTTCCCAACTAACGCCCCGTCGGAGTTTTCGGGGACAACCGCTGACACACCTCCCCCCAGAGTGATGCTCGTGGGCGCATCATTGGAGTCCAATACATTGATGACAAATTTTTGCACAGAGAATAACCCGAAATTGTCTGTAACACGCACAGTTATCGAACGAACAGCATTTAACTCATAGTTCAGGGGTTTAGATAGCAACAGTCCTGTCGTACATCTTGTTTTGTTCTGGTCTTTTAAAATTGATTGGCAAATCGCAGCCGAAGAGCCCAACGAGAATTCACCTTGGGAATCATCGTCCAGTGAAAACTTGAGATCTTGATTTGCGTCCGTGTCTATAGCTAGCAACGTTCCCACAAGGCTTCCGGTTGTTGTGTTTTCAAACACTTCTGGAGCCTGGGCCCCTGTAAATTTCACTGCAATGGGAGCCTCGTTAATGTTAAGAACTTCTATAGTGAAGTTTTCTGCCAGCTGTAAAAGAAGCAATGGATTAAACGGAGTACAAAGTACAAACTCAAAGTACTGCATCAAAGTTCTTGTGAACTGATACGCAGAGTGCATCAAACAAAATCAACTGATCTTTTGTATATAATCTAATCGATCTATTTGTTGACATATACCATCTCGGGGGCGATCTATATCTTGTTTTAAAGCTTGTTGCTTTTTTCCCTTCGAAACTAAAGTGCTTCCTTGTAACTTTAGAAAAAGCAATTTTTAAAAATCATGCCTTTCCCAAACCACTTCATCAAATTTAAAAGGTAATGATGATATACTGAATTGCTAAGCTTTTGATATGAATTTTGCAAACAATAAATCCTGCCACCCTTTTGTTTACTGAAATTCGTATTTTATGCCAGGATTACAGTTTGTTTCTTATAATGAAGTTGAAACCCTTTTGCTTTCAATTGGTTGCTTGGAAAAAACATAAACTTGTTCATTTAAGAATCATCCCTGAACAATTACCTTCAATGCATTATAGCCATTATCCATAACAGCCACCCTAATGACGTGCCTCTTATCAGCTTCGTGGTCGAGTGATTTTGCTGTCACCAACTTATTACCAAGCAAGGCAAATCTCCCTTCATCGGTATCAACCAATGAGAAGCTCAGATTTTGTCCGGTATCCTCGTCATGTGCTGTAAAAGAACCAATCACAGTTCCCAAAGTTGCATTTTCGTATATCGTGTTTTTGTCCAACCTGAGGTCTCTTGGTCTATCGTTGTCATCAGTGATGTAGATGATGAACGTTTGGTCAAAATGTTTTACAGGATTTCCATTATCTGTTGTTCTGATGGAGACGTTAAAGCGTGCTTGAGCCTCATAGTTCAGCCGACATAAGCTACCTCCAAATTGAAGACAAAGTGTGTTTGATACTGCCACCTTTAACGAGAATAAACCAATGTTAAAAGTTCGAGATTCAGACTAAAATTTGTAATTATCTGACTTTCTGAAAATACCTTCACTGAATGTCCTTCAATCTTGAAACGACCGCCAGCAGTATCCAGGAGATTGTACGTATGCCACTGGCCAATATCTTCGTCACTTGTTGCCAGGTTACCAACAACGACATCGACATCACTGTTTTCCCTAATTTGAGCGTTTGATAACTACACAAATAAAAAGAACGGCCGCAGTTTTTTGAAGTTTGCTACAGATCAGAGGGCTTTCGTATAACAATGTTGTTGAACTTTAGATAGACTTTGGTAGCCAACATTGGCCAATTAATATGATTTATCTTGCAGTTTACTATGAATTTAACCGCTCAAAGTGTGGTCCATAAATTTGTTAGAAGCAAGACTTAAGAAAGGGGTGTATTTCTCACCTGGATTGCGAATGGTCGGTCATTGACATTCATAACATCCACCACAAGGCGTTCATCGCGATAGAGTGATGGCTTCCCGCTATCTCGGGCCCGCACTGAAACAGTCCAAGACTTTGAATTCTCGTAATTCAGACTTCTAGTTGTTCTCAATACATTGCCATTGATCACGAAAGGACTGGCCCCAAACGCATTCAGAAAATAGTTAAAGCTCTGTTTTGATTGGTTGTTGGCGTTATCCGGATCTTGCGTGGAAAGAATACCAACTACCACTGATCCGTTATTCTCTTGAATTTGGGAATTCGACAGAGCCACCATTATTGGCGCCTCATTTACATCGTCCACGATTACATCGAAATCAGCTTCCTTTTTTAGCCCATACGGATCGGAACAAAGGACACTAATATTGTGCGAGCTAGCTTGTTCGTAATCGAGGGAGTTTACAGTCTGGATAAGGGAATTCTGACCGTTTTTAAGGACAATCTGGAATTTTCCTTGGGCCGAGTTTGTTAGCAGGCAAACATGAGACTGCTTTTGGGGATAATTACCAGAGTTATCAGGATCTTGGATGGTAAAATTACCAATAACAGTTCCGGAGGGGCTATTCTCCTGGACGTTCGCATTACTGATTGTTACGCTTACAGGAGCTTCGTTTTGATCTATCACGTGAACAATAAATGATTGGGTCGATGACGTCAACGCAGGAGATCCATCATCAGTAGATGTTACCATGACAACATATTTGTGTTTCTGTTCGTAATCTAACGCATCTTTGAGATACAAAAATCGATTTCTTCGAACTTCAAAAATGTCTGAGTTGCTAAGCAGATTATAATGGTGATTCTGGTTTTTATCCTCGTCGGTAGTCACCAGTTCCCCAATGAGCACAGTCCGGCTGTTTTCAACAACGTTAGCTTCCAGACTCCCTGAGATAGTCACATTGCTCGGCCGATCGTTGTTATCAAGAACAGTGATGTTAAACATTCGTACTATGAACTTGCCATGTTGATCTGTTACACGGACAGTGATTTTTAAACTTGTGGTAACTTCATAATTCAATGATCCTTTCACCTTTAATTGAGCTGTACATTTGGTAATGGTCTTTTTCGGGTGTGTACAAGCCGCTGGTGTTACCGCGAAGGACTGGAAAGGATTGATATCCAGAGTGAAAATGAGATTCTGTGAAACTTCATCATCTATAGCTTCTAAGGACCCCACCACTGCATTGACAGTCGCGTTTTCATTGACTTGGGCCTGGTCTCGTGGGAACGACAACTGACCACCTTTGTCAGTAAGATGGACACTGACTGGGGGCTCATGTGCGTTTAATACTTCAATCATAAATGTCTTTTTCATCTTAATAAATAAAGAAAATATGGAAAGGCATTCAGTCGTTAGTTTTCGAAGTATAATCAGTTTAGTGTATAAATGCAACTCGTCTTTAAATAGATATTAGTCCACCCCTATTCCTTTCGAAAAGCAATATGGCGATACCGACCTGTTTCACAGGTGTTCCATCGTCTTTCACAACGGCCGTTATAAAATGATTTGTGTTTGTCTCGTAATCTGTTGCCAAAACTTTTGTCAAGATTCCATCTGAACTCACAGCAAATCGTCCTTGGTCATTGTCAGATAAAGTGTAAGTCAAATGCTGTCCAGAATCTTCGTTGTTCGCTGAAAATCTTCCGATTACAGTTCCTATTTTTGCAGTCTCTTTTACGGTGTTTCCACTTAGGCTCAATTCTCTTGGCTGGTCGTTTACATCGATGAGGTTAATTGTGAAAGTTGCATTTATCGATAAAACTGGGTTCCCGTTATCAGCACTTCGTACAGTGATCTGGTGGCTTGGTTTTGCCTCGTAATTCAGTTTACAAAAATCTCCACCCTTCGCAAGGCAATTGCTATTGCTTATAGCGACCTAAATTATAAGTTTAAAATATGCGTTTCAATTGCAAATGGTAATGGTTTTCTGAGTGTTACTGAGTTTACCTTTTTTAAACTAGGATTGAATTTACTAATACTAGCATGACCAATCTACAATAACAATTTCTGTAAGTTTTCAGACCGCTAGTCTGTTTCAGCGTTTCTGCTTTCAGCGTTTCAGTCTGTTTCAGCGCTGTCTAGTACTTACTGCTTTGCAACCAATTTCTACTAATACTAGCCTGATTAGACGACTTCGTACTGCTTTTAAAACTAACCCAATGTAAGTCATTGTTGTGCTGCCAATCCAACCATTGCTATGGTAGCTAATACTAGCCTGACTACTTCTAGGTATTGCCTACATATGGAGGCAGCTATCTACATTTCTTCCCACCTTAAGAGATCTCCCGTCAATTTTAAAGCGTCCAGCCGCTGAGTCAATCAAAGTGTAAGAATGTGTTTGAGAGTTGTCTTCGTCTGTGGTTGATAACAAGCCCACGACAGCGTCGAGGTCTGAATTTTCTGTTATTTGACGATTTGATAACTGCAACACAAAGTGAAAGATTTGGTGGTAAATTCTTGCCAGGTAAGAACTCAAGCCAAAGAGGCTTGTATTTACCAACTAAAGCTAGGTAATTATCCTACCTGAACAGAGGTTGGTCTTTCGTTGATATCAGTTAAGGTGACTGTTATCACTTGGTTTATAAACAAGGAAGGATTGCCATTGTCTGTGCTTCGAATTTTCAAGTCATATCTATATAACACAGTTTGTATTGTAAACGAAATTCTCATCTTCTCAAAAATATATTACTGTAAAGAGCATTTTAACTAATTTTCATACGCTCTCTCCAGCTGTTGTACCCCACGGTAAAATAAAAAAATCAAAATTCAATACATGATAGGTTTCCTCGTACCGTTTGTTCATCGTCTCATAGTTCAGAATGACAGTAGTGTACAATTTATTTCCTCTGATGGTGAACTTTGCCTCTCCCCCGGATATTAAGGTATACGTGTGTGAATCCCGGGGATTTGGATCCAATGAAGTCAAGGCTCCAACGAGTGTATCACGAGGACTGTTCTCTGAGATGCTGTGAGATCCTGATAGAAGAATCTGAAAAATAATCTTGAAATTTTAGTCCTTTTTAAAACAAAGGGATAACTGTTAATGAATAAAATCGAACATTTTTGCTGAAAGATGGGGTCCGCCACAGTACATTGAATTTTTCTAAAATTTTTGGCAAACTTTTAATTGCGTACAAGCAGCTTTTTAGCAGCTTTGAAAACTGCACTAGTCTAATCCTTGGATTTCCTAAATCAACCAACCAGCAACCGTGATTCAATTCACTTTTTCGACTAGTTTCATAATAGAGTGAAAGGTCATCAAAAGAAATTACCCGCGTGGGTGGATCATTGATTCTCCGACAATATGTTGCAGCTGAAAAGCTCCAAGTGCCAGCCGTCGTACACGTGACACTGCGGACGCCTTTCAAGGCGTAAGTACTGGGGCAGAGTAATGAACATGTAACTGGATACGTAGTTTGGTTTTTAGGACAGGATACAGCGGCGTGTTTGCACGTTGTTCCCAACTGGGTACCTAGAAATTCATTTATGAAATATTAGGTTTAAGGGCTCGAGACCTAGACTTCGATACATGATTCGTAAAGAATACTGAGCCAAATTTAACTTCTTGTTCAATTTAAAATCCATTTTTTTATAATGGATATTATTCCCGTACATTTTTCATGAAACGGGTTTTCCTTTCATATTTGCTGGAAGTTACTATTGGCTTTTCTTCTGCTATAGCGCTTTATCAGCTCTTCGTATTCGTCTATTTAAATTTTGTAACTTTCCTCCGAAAGATTACAGTGCACAATTGTAAGAACATATAAACCTTCTAAAGATGCTGTGATGGGAGCGAAGACACATAATAATATCATAGTTCTAAATGTCTTGTACGAATGTGATCGCCTTCAGTCAGATGTATTATCAACCTCTCTTCTCCAAGTTCAAATCATACCTGGAGCGCAATAATTCAATGTAAGCAACCCACAATCCTTTGCTAAACATTGTTTACTTCCTCTAAGATAGTATCCAGCGTTACATGAACAAACACCATTTCTACATTGATGTTCACAACCATTGTTTGGAGAGCCGCATTGTGTGGATTCCTGGCATGGAAATAAAAAGATTCAGTCTGGATAGTTCTTCAAAACACAGATGGAGGAGCAGTCATTCCATAACAAATACCTTCAGTACTGGACACGAATTTCCATTACATTGTTTGGCTTGCGTGACCACTCTTGTTCTCTTTTTGCTCCCAACTGAACATGTTTGATCACACTTACCCCAAGATGACCACTGTCCGACCTGAGGAAAATGAAGATTTTTGTTAAGATCATTTTTGGGCATAGTTTGTAAATTGAAGATACAGTGACTTGCATCCCCTGTATTATATGTTATATATAATAGGTGTTGGTATAGGATTGGTGCTGAAACGAGATGGTGCTGCATTGCAACCAATGAGATTTGTTTCAGTTACGAGTATGAAGCCCCTTACCGTTCCGCTGACCGTGGCAATAGCTGCAAGACCACGCTTCCTACCTTGCAATCTCTGTTGTTTCTGTAATCAGTACAAGCTTTGTATGTCTCGATCGCTCCACATTTTTTACCGCGGCACACGGGTGATTGAGTAATTTTACGAGTTTTCCGTTGCTTTCCGACACCACAGCCGTTGTCACAAATAGACCACGAGGTCCACGCCCCCATTTGGCAATCTCGATTGATGTACCGCGTACAAACCTTACTTTCGCTCAGTGTTCCACAACTATTTCCACCACAACTTCGATGTCGCTGTACTATGCGAGCTCGGGATGATTTTCCTAAAAGTACCATGACGATTAAACACAATAAACCTGTACGTATTTTGCTGTTGGTAGTTTTTAAAACGTTGACGAGTTAAAACGTTCTCGTGCTGACATTGAGCAGTATGATTTCACTTTATTATTCACGTGTTCTTAAAGGATGTTTGTTTATAACAACAGGATTTATCATATACGTCCTTCTAAATATACACTGAGGTTGCAGAAAGTTCCATCTGCAATAAACGTTTTTCCTACCACAGACAGTAGATATATAGCGTAGGGCGAATTAGTTTTTTTAGTATGTCGTGTTGCAAATAATGGATTATCACAGTAGCCCAAATGAATCACCTACAGTAATATATGCCTCAATCCCTACTTACCCTGTCCACACGTGGAGGAGCATGCTGACCATGCGCTCCAAGAGCTCAGCTGACAGTGAACAGGACAACAGCTATGTACACAGGCTCGACTTTGAAATGTTGTGGGACAAGGTTGACTGCAGTAATTATGACGAATTATCTTTCGAGTGCGCTTCTCTGTCCCCCCGCCACATTTTCCGTTTGTGGCAACACATGCCTGCCACTTTCCCCATGAGCTCATCTAGGAGAAATAATATGAACGGTTTGGTATCTGGTAAAAATCAGAAGAACAAGATCCAAAGATTGTCTACGGATACTTGGAGTTTGAGCTGTATATAACTGATAACATGCTATACTTTTTGAATCTCGACGCATGCGTTTTTCGAACCACACCATTGATTAGTTGGAAAACATCCTGACAGATTGGGCAAAAATGCAAGAACTTACTTGGCATGTTATAGGAATCGGCGTACAGCGTTGGCTGACAGTTTTTAATTTTTGTGTTTGACTGCAAGAGCCACCGCAAGAAGCTGGGGTCGTAATTCGTCTTGACCTCGTCTGGGTACCGCTGTTTTTCCCACAACCACCTGTGAAAGAAATATTCAGTGATTGATAATAAAAGGCAGTACTAATTAAGGCGATATTTTTACTGCTCGCTTTCTAATTATCTAGGGTTGGAAAAATATTTCATAACTAAAACTTGCATACGCAGGATTATTAAACCTGAACTGGAATGTCAGATCCTCTGGTAGGAACTGAACTTACGCCCCTGATTTCAGGGGAGTACCTTTACCACTTGTTACCACTGACCACGGTAAAAATTTAGTAACCTGTCCATTAGCAGTAATAATCAATAAAAGAAGGGCTAGGTCATTATACTTACTAGAAGAACATTTGGTCCAAGCCGACCACGACGAGAGCACGCAATTTCGTGGACAACACGGGCCGGTGCACGGCTGGCTGTCAGTTGTACTTGGGCAGGCATTGCCATTGCACGAACTTGGAGTTGTGATTTTTCTCTTTCGGATCTTTGTTCCACTCCTCTCGCAAGCAGCATTACATCCTCCCCAGGGTCCCCAATTGCCCACGACACAGTTGACCGGACAACAACTGAATCGAGAGAAAAGTGGGAAAACAAAATCAATTAACAACTGAAGAAGAGAAAAACACATTTCAGTCCAAGAATATTTTTAGGTCAGTCACCTTTCCCTTTTATAACCTCACTATGGATACAATATTTAGCTACAAATACAGTGAATATTCATGAAATTGAACGGGACAGTCGAAAAGGTTAGTTACAACTAGAAAATAACATATTTTAAGTGAGTGTCAAGACCATAGCAGAGATACGATTTACACACTGGGCAACAAAGCCGGACATGACTTGGGTAATCTTGGGGAACTATAGGGATTGTGTAAACAGCCCCTTAAAGACTTAAAATATCAAATTAATATAATTATTTGAGCACTATGGCGCTATTCCAATACTTTTTTATGAGGATTTAGTTTGAAAAATTTTAGGGAGTTTACCATCTACGACGCAGTTAGCTCGACGTCGCTACTCTTGAAATAAGTTTCAGGAAATTAATAATGCGCTGCTATGACTTTGAAATAATCATACAAACGTTTCAATTAGCTGATATTGCAGTTTCATATATACAGTTTCATGTCACATTGCAGCTGCTTTCATGTCGTCCAGAAGCCGTGAAATTTCCTCACTTGAAGGCGTCGTGAGAGTGGCAAAACTATTGTCTTGCGTGTGGTGTTTCCTTGTTTTGCAAGCACGTCGTCGAGCTGGCCACCTCGTGAGTCTTAAACCCCCTAATACCGATCAAGATGCAAATAGCAGAGCTCACATTAATCGGGCTAAAAAGGATTTTGCAGTCAAGGTTAATCTGTAAATGATGTTATAAACAATTGTTTTTTGGCACAACTTTGTTGACCTTGTAGCAACAATCTCAATAATCCAAGGCAAGTCTGGGCAGGCTCAGGCGTAGATTACGAATCGTGAAAGGAACCATTGAATCAGCGAGGTCCTCATTTATTCACCCAATAATCAGTTTATTGGGTAGGAACCGTCAAGTGCGTGAATTCAGGAATGTCATTGGTAGAAATTGCATAGATATATAAGATATAAAGAAGCTCTTTCACAAAAGGAACGACCCTTTCAAAAACACGAATGTAAATTAATTTTCAGGACAACACTTTTTATTGCCAGGTTTGGATGGCTAACTTTTTTCGGACACATCGAAAAATATTTACAGACCATACAACAGCCAATAGCTTTTTCAAAAGCAGTATGCAGTAATCTTCGCATGGAGTGTTACATGTCTGTGCCCAACTGATGGACTTGGTCACTGGTGATACTGGGACATTCCTTCAGCCATCGGATCGACCAGGGGGGTTACAAGTTCACATTTTCAATTAAGCGCGCTTACCATCCTAGTTTGATTAAGTATACCATAACAAGACGGATATTGAGTGGACTCGTATTTGGTCAAGTTTCCATGACATCCTCAGGATTCGTATCTACCAATCGTATATTCGTTCTTTCGTTATAATAAATATCTTATTACATTTACCATTAAGGTCCATTGGCATGTGTAAAGCAAAAAAACCTTCTTGAAATTCGAGTAGTATTGAGAGGTGATAATGACATTAAAGCTGGCTAAGAATGGGGGAAAATTTTTTAACCTGGCAAGATCGGGCATGAAAGTTTCTTTTGTCCGTAATCAAGTTCTCGACCAGAACTGAAATCTTTAGTAATAAATCTTTTTAGTTTGTTCCAATTATTCAAGGTCAGGTCTAACTGGTTCAAGTCATTTCTAAATAGGCGTGATAGGACACGTTTATGAAACAGAATACGGGCTTGAAACGTGGGTCTTATATCTGCGACCTAAAAATCGTTCACGACCGCCATATGCGTGTTTTTTTCTCTTATGCATGCACCCTACTGCTCTAGCTATTTTGAAAAAGTTGAAGTTGATGTAAAAAGATGAACACGCCTACACTCAGGGACGCATTTCCGCCGCACTTTTAGCGTGAAATGACCTTTTTAATTTCGCGTGTGTTACTATAGCCACATTTATATCTTAAGTCGACCAGCTCTGCCATTTTAAAAACACAGCAAACATGAAAAATAAATAATAAACATGAAAACAATTCAAAAGAACACAACTTTTGTTGTATAGATGACTATATGTCGATGTGTTCACTTGTTTTAGGTCTCCTAAGGAAGCCGGCAAGCTATATTCTAGATATTCTAGTCTGATCTTTGCATGAATGGTTTATATAAAGCATGGTTTATAAAGCATAATCCAGTCACGATAACTATTTAATGAATAAAGAAATGCGATTTTTCGATTGATGCGATGTTTTGAACCATACCTCAACAGCTCTATGGGGTCTATATTTCGATATATTCGACCATGCAAAAGTCGAATATACCGGAATATGACACACTCGACCATGGTCGAATATACCGGAATATGACACACTCGACCATGGTAGAATATACCGGAATAAATAAACGAAACTTTATCGTTCGTTCAAATTTTAATAAGCCTGATTGATTAAAAACCAGCCTTTACGTCGAAGAGCGAACCGAAGCCATTTCTAACTGGGCATGATAGGACACGTTGATGAAATGCAATCCAGAGCTTATACATCCGCATTTTTCGTGCGTTTATGTCGCAACCCGACCAACTCTGCCAATTTTAAATACACTAAACTTAAAAAAGATATTGAAAACATTTCAAAAAACCTGAATTTTTGTTGTATATAGACTACTTGAAGATTTGTGATAGACTTTGAGTGGAAAATACATTTACTTAAAATTAATTTGTTTAAAATAAAAACAAAATTCGTTGCTCGCTAAATACCTGGGGATAAAATTCCAGGACCAAATAATTAAAAATAAATTGATCCTGTCTGCTTGTAAAAAGCTTGAGTTTACAAGTTTTCAGTTCTCTGGTAATTCATTGACCGGGTAAATGGAATGATCAAGCTGTGTAACACGAATGTAAATATTTAATACCACACTTTCTTATCAGGTTCGCATTTTTCCGTACACCTTACATCGAAACGCATTTATGAACCAGACAACAGCCTACCTGCCATCTCCACAGGTTTCCGTCCTGTAACCAGGACAGGGTTTTCCGCCGCACCTCGGGCTTGAAATAATCTTCACCGTTCGCGTCCGTTGTCCATAGCGACAAGTCGCGCTGCAAGCCGACCAACTGTGCCATGAATAGTAGCAATCTATAGGGCAACAGGTATTCGGGCAGGGCGCTGTATCAATGTCTGTATAGGGACAATGTCCTGGGCAAGTCGAGGAGCAGTCAGGCGGGCATGGTCTGTAGCAATATCCCCCGGGACAATATTGTGTCCTGAATCGGTTCTTTGTACCGGAATATCCGCACGATGCTGAACAAGGGCTCCATGTACTCCACTTGCTATAAGTACAATACCAGCTGCAGGGGCCGAATTTGACTGGAGTAACATTGCGACACAAAAGAGTGTAAAATAATACTGCGCCTGCAAGCAGTAGCCGCGAAGGACTCATTTGTTGTATTTGTAAAGAACGCTTTAGAGACAGCGAGGAACTTTTACCAAGAGAAACTCAACTGGAAAATGACACCGAATGCAAAACACCATGCACAAATATTCACAAGACGCTGGGGTATTTTGAAAAAAAGGTAATCTGATTATGATGGACCTTTTCGCATTGTGCTTTTTACCCAAAGCAGTTTGCAGTAATCTTCACAAGTAGTGTGACATCAGTGTACTGTTTTTCCTAACTGGAAAGCTAACTCAAGGAGAGATACTATTGTAGACATTACCTTTTAATTTTCTTGTCTGTGCATGAAACTGAAATCTTTAGTCAATAAAGAAATACAGAAATATTTATATAGAAGTTACTTTAATTTGTGTTTCTTAAAGTCTTCATTAGCGATTCATTAGCTTCATTTTGATATACGTATTATTTATTAAGGGTCTGGATTTTCAACTAAACATTTTCTGAAATCTTCATGTTTCTGAATTATTCCAGTTTCTCACGTTTCTGGTGTGGGACTTTGGTTGACATTCCTCGATGGTTATAGGAATGTCACAGAATGACCACGCCCATCTGTTGGCTTATAGTTCAACCTATAACTCGGTCACATGACCTAACACCGACGTGAGAGCCTTTTATCCAAAGGTGATTTGCCAACACAAATTTTGGGCCGCCAATTTCGAACAGAGCACTTTCACGCGTTTTCAGTATGTTCAAAGAGTATGATTTTTTGACAGATGCCACACTGTTTTTTTATATTGTTTGAAACCTCGAACGCTTGGGGCACGTTTGCACTTGCAATCTTCCTTGTGATTCTCGCGCTTGATATGATCCAGCGAATTAGTAATTATGCTAGGTCTCGTAAAGCAGTGATGTGGAGAGATTGAGAATATTGGCGCTGGTTGCCAATCAGGGTGATTTTTCAAAGGGCAAGATCGGGCATGAAAGTTCCTTTTTTCGTAATCATGTTCTCAATCAGAAATGTAATCTGTAGTACGAACGAAACCTTCTAGTTCGTTTAAATTCTTACAAGCCTGGATTGCCCTATTAAAAAGTAGGCGAGGAGCGAACCGAAGAAATTTCTAAAGAAGCATGATAGGACACGTTGATGAAACGCATTCTGGGGATAGTTGAAGATTTGTGATAGACTTTACGGCTCAAATATATGCATGATTATTGAATGAGTAAGCATTTCTGGTAGAAATTGCTTAAGAAAATTAAAGTGCCCCAGATAAATTAAGAGATTAATTTAAAGTCCCTAAAGATCCACAATCGAGTTTTACTATTGCCAAAAGTCGCGAGCGAAATTGTTTTAATTATCAAAATGAATGGAACTGTTATAATAGTTTCCCCACCTGATCCATTCTTTGAGTTTAGAAAATCACTGACATTTCTTTATTCATAAAATAGTAATCGTGATTAGATTATGCTTTATATAAACCATAGCTTGCTGGCTTTCTTAAGAGAACTAAAACAAGTGAAGTGACACATTGACATATTCAGTGGCGTAGCCAGCCCGACAATTTAGTCATGATATGCTAATATTTTGGTGATCATCGACTGTGAAAACAATGAATTTCTAAAGAAATGAATAATGATAATAACATAAAATTTGCATAGCATGACTAAATCGTCAGGCTGGCTACGCAACTGGACATATTAGAGCCGAAAATCTATACATTAATTTTTAGTTTAATCTAAAACACAAATGCTTTAGCCTTCTTTGTCCTTTGATCATGTTTTTGAGGTAGCCTGAATAGGCGACGTATCGCCTATCGACTTTCCCAAAATGAACCCTTTCAAATTGCACAGAATATCGCGTTGCGTGGAAAATTTATAAAAACTTCCAAACGAACTGAGTATGATAAAAACAAGATTCGTCGCTTGTTTGAATATACCTTGGAATAAAACTCTAGGATCAGATAATTAACAATAAATTTCTTTCGATTCTTGAGTTTACAAGATTTTTGCTTACATTTAGTTATATTTTCTGCTGGTAATTTATCAACGTGGTAATTGAAATTATCAAGCTGAGAGCGAAAGATAATTTGTAACTTTGTGTAACAGGAGTGAAAATATTTAACATTTCTCGTCTGGTTCGCATGCCAAACTTTTTCGGACACCTTACATCGAAGTGTATATATAAACCATCAAATAGCCTACCTGCCATCTCCACAGGTTTCCTTCTGTGCACTAGGACAGGCTTTTCCCTTGCATTGATCTTGTACATTAATCTTTGCAGTTCGCGTGCGTTGTCCATAGCGACAAGTCACGCTGCAAGGGGACCAACTTTTCCAGGAATACTGACAATCTATAGGGCAGCAAGTATTTGGACAAGGCGCTGAATCAATGTCGTCGTAGGGACAATATCCTGGGCAAGTCGAGGAGCAATAAGGCTGGCATGGTCTGTAGCAATATCTCCAACGACAATAATTCTTAAACCTGATTCGTGTTCTGGAACGGGAATTTCCGCACGATGGTGAACAAGAGCTCCATGCACTCCACTTGCTATAAGAACAATACCATTTGCATGAATCAGGTATGCTCTTATGTTTATATGGAATAACATTGCGACAGGAAAAAATATATAATAACACTGTGCCAGTGACTACTAGACGCGAAAGACCCATTTCTTCTTTTGGTGAAGAGCGCTTTACAACGAGGAACTTTCACCAAACAGCACCAGCGAACCTCAATTGGAAAATGACACCGAATGCAAAACACCACGAATATATGATGCTGGATGTATTTAAAAAAATCTGATTATGATGGACTTCTGAATTGTGCTTTTTACCCAAAAGCAGTTTTCAGTAATCTTCACAAGTAGTGTGACATCAGTGTACTGTTTTTTCAGATCTAACAGATGGGCGTGATCATACTATGGCATTTCTATAGCCATTGAGTCAACCTGGGGGATCACGAGTTTAAATTTGCAATTTAGCGCTCTTACAATCTTCCTCTGGTTACTGGGTACAATACTGATACAGATATTGTATCGTATTTGTTTGACTTTCATTCAATCATTAGGTTGAATAGAAATTTTGAATCTAAATCTAAACCTATTAGAAAATGAAACTGATGAATCTCTGTGGAGAATCCAAGACTTTGGGAAAAACACAAAAAAACTGCTATTCGGTAAATATCCGGTATATATTTTTGGCTAAAGACTTAAGTTTTGTATACAGTCAGATAAAATAAAAAGTAATGGGTTCAATCGCATTTCTTCCCAAGCTAGCTTCTCAGTCGACTATAGTTCAAAGCTAGTTAGTCACATGATCCAAGGTGGGGCTCTATGATCAAGGGTAATTTGCCAAGACAAGTTTTTCGAGGCCAAAAATTGCTGTATCGAGGAGAACACTTTTACGTGTTTGTTATATTCAAAGGTAGGACTTTGACAGATAATACACTGTATTGCCTTAAATGTCGAAACTAAAAGAAATGAGTTTACACATAATTTTTAATGATTTTTTCTTTTGGATTGAATCAGTTTTAGAACACTTCCTGGTGGGCGGCGAAGTTCATTTCTGAACCACAGCAAGAATCCAATCACGTCCTTAACTCTAAAATTACGAAAAGCTTATTTAAGAATTAAGCTTACTGTCTTCATTTTGAGGAAAGTCAATCACGCGATAAACTACACTACATGGGGCCAAATTTTTATCCATCACAATTTCGGGGCGTTTTGTATAATCACTGTCAAGCAGTTATTGCTTCAGGCAAAGATTCTTTGTTGCCTTAACGCACGTTTACAGTATGAGTGACTGCAGTGCTTATGTGTCCTTTAGGCTGTAAGCCTGCATGTACAATGCATTATTGAAAACACCGCCTTGTGAACTGGCATAAACTAAAATAGGTTTTATAGGCCAAGTTCCTGCAGGTCTATTGACGTGTCTGAGGCACAAATCATACTTGAAACTCAAGTGATATGGAGAGATGATGGGAACATTAGGGCGGTTGCCAATTGGGCAAGATCGAACATGAAAGATTCTTTTGTCCGTAATATGTTCTTGAGCAGAACTAAAATCTCTTACAGAAATGAAACCTTTTATTTCGTTGCAATTTTTATAGGTTTGGCTTAACTGATTCAAAACCAGTCCTTAGTACTGGTTTAAACGGTAGCCGAGGAGCGAACTGATGCCAATTCTAAACAGTCATGAAAGGACACGTTGATGAAACGCAATTTAAGAGCTTATTTCGTGGCCTAATCCTGGCGACCTAAAAATCTTTTACAAATTATCCTCATGGCATGAGTGCTTTCCTCATGCACCATACTGGGATAGTAATTCACTGAGTGATATGGAGAGATGATGGGGGAGTTAGGGCGGTTGCCAACTTGGCAAGATCGAACATGAAAGTTTCTTTTGTCCGTAATGAAGTTCTCGTCCAGAACTGAATTCTTTTGTACAAATAAAAACCTTTTATTTCGTTCCAATTCTTAATGGTCTGGCTTACCCGATTCAAAACCAGGCTTTAGCTCTGGTTTAAACGGTAGCCGAGGAGCAAACTGATGCCAATTCTAAACAGGCATGATAGGACACGTTGATGAAACGAAATTCCAGGGGCTTATTTCGTGGCCTGATCCTGGCGATCTGAAAATCCTTTACAAATTATCCTCATGAGTGCTTTCCTCATGCACCATACTGCGATAGTAATTCACTGAGTGATATGGAGAGATGATGGGGAGTTAGGGCGGTTGCAAACTTGGCAAGATGGAACATGAAAGTTTCTTTTGTCCGTAATGAAGTTCTCGACCAGAACTAAATTCTTTTGTACAAATGAAACCTTTTATTTTATTTCGTTCCAATTCTTAATGGCCTGGCTTACCTGATTCAAAAACCAAGCTTTAGCTCTGGTTAACACGGAAGCTGAGGAGCAAACTGATGCCAATTCTAAACAGGCATGATGGGACACGTTGATGAAACGCAATCCAAGCGCTTATACGTGGCCTGATCTTGGCAATTTGAAAATCTTTTACAAATTATCCTCATGATTGTTTTTCTCATGCACCATACTGGGATTGCTACATGGAAATAATATTGATTTCACTCCACATCGCAAATCGTGGGGTTAGCTACGATCTAACTACCCAAACTTTCAGTTAAGAGTTTTTTATGCAGCCTGGCTCAGGTAACTTTACTTTGGTGAAACAACACTTCTGAGTTCTGGCTCACAATTAAGTACCTACGAACTACCGTCGTTGCAAAAACGGCCGCCAAGATTGACTTACCTGCACTGCAACATAATTTCTACACGTTTGTTACAAAGAAAAATTATACAAAGCAGCAAAACGTGTACAATTTGATAGTTTTAAATGAAACACTGAAATGTTTTGAGGATTGCAATTTATGGATTGGATAAGTGAAGTTTGGCGAAATGGCTGTAATTTTTGCTACGCTAAGAGGATAAATCAAGAATGTTTTCTTGCAATTCCATGACGTTAAATTTTCTTAAAATTCTTATGTAATTATCCGCCTTTAATTAAGAGGGGTTTGGATATTTAAGAATTTCTATAGTGTCCCTTTTTATAGAAATGTGTAATATGATTGTCAAAAGCTGCCATGAATGCGTTAAGTTTTAGTTCTGTTTAGTTTAGTTTATTTGAGTTAAGTTTATTTCAGTTCAATTCAGTTCAGTTCAATTCAGTTCAGTTTAAATCAAGGATCATTATAAGACATAAGTAGAAAACATTATTCGGTGCTTTTACTGAATTCCTAAACAGTAGAGTAGCCAGCCTGATGATTTATCCTGCTATGCTAATATTTGGTGTTCATTGACAGTGAAAACAATAAATTTCTAAGGAAATGAATAATTATAATAACTCGAAATTTACATAGCAGGACAAAATCGTCAGGCTGGCTACGCCATTGTTCCTAAAATTAAAGCCCAAACTGTTTGCTGGCTGTATTCCTCGTTTTCAAAAAAAGACTTTGCCTTCTAGTAGATAAAATAAACAAAACTTTTTTAGCATTTTTATTTTCAATCATTCAAATACGTTCCTATATTGACTTGTTCGAATATACAGAATGCTAGTGATCAGCATTTACTTTTTACAATTACGTGCAAATTAAAATAAATATTGTCATCCATTTTAAAAGTTATTAAACTCTATTTGTTACAAATACGAATGATTCTATATTTATTGGTATGAATGTAGCTATATTACGAGGGGTTTTTGGAAAATATATATCCATCACAATTTAAAAGCAATTCGTAAACCCACAGACCGAATCAAACTGAACTCAATATTTTAAAAATGTCATTTCCCATTTTCAACTAGTAGCATTATAGCTGTTTGTCAGTCTAGGAATTCACATATGTCAAAGGGAGATCGGCTTCGATCGTATCGTGCGAACAGGACCGAACAGTCTAACGAGCAACTTGAAAGTGTACTGATTAAATACAAAACAATAGCTGGAGACAGTTTGATTAGGTCTCTTCAAATTTTTAAAATTATATACCCTTAACACTATTATACACCCGTAAAATTACAAGATAAAGCCATTGAAATCAAGACTAAATTGTCCTTTCGTTGTTGTAAATAGTTTTTCTAGTCGATATCGACGCCATATTTAATCAAAATGCACTGTGGTCCACTATATGGGTGAAATATATTGATTGGGTCATTATTGGTCGAGATAAAACGATGCAAGACTATTCATACAACTGATACAAGCAGCGGTAGGTGGGTTATAAAACTTCATTTAACTACTATATAGATTCATGTCAACGTTGTTTTTGTAATCGTATGTCAAGGTAATATACAGCAACAACAAAGGGAGAGGTATATTTCACACTAGCCATTTGCCTTATAACAATTATCAGACCACAATGCATTACAATATTATACTAAGACAGCGCCCTTATCCCAGAAATTTTGCTTAATTAATAATATTTGAAAATTTAACTTTGATGTAAGAAAAGCTACACAATTGTATACAATTGACTCTGAGAGTCAACTTTACAAAACGAATGAAGTAGAGAAGCCATTTTTTTCATCAAAGGTTTTACCGTTAATTTATTCAGTCATATAATTGGAATCATCACCATTCCCAACAGGCTTTGCACGCAGTCCTGTCTCACGTTCGAAAGTACTGTACAGCGGATTCTCGAAGTGCTTAGCGTGACCTTGCCGCGGCGTTTCGACGCCACGTAAAGTGCCGATTTGAAACCATTTGCGAATCGTCCTCATTCTCGTCTAAGCCATATATGGGATTCACCTCTCCGTCCGCATTGGTCGAGACGTGATGACGAAACATGACGTCACGATAATGTTCGTCGTCCTCTTCCGGTAATCTCACGTGATTGTACTGCTCGCGACTACGTAACGCTTCCTGGAAGTTAAACCGCTGAGATCTGTCTGCGTAGCAAGCGAACACCAGGACAAGAAGAAAAATTACTCCGCCTATACTCGCTAGCAAGTAAATTGACCACCCGGGTAACGATGCGCTTGAATTATCACCACCATGTAAAGCGTCTAGACTCGATTCTCGAGTTTTGCAATTCAATTTATCCACATTCTTTACGGTCGGACAGAGGTAGTCCGTGAAGCGGAAATCATTGGATGTGTACTTCGGGTAACCGAGCTTCTTGGAGCAATTCAGACTTCGATTAAGAGAACAAATGAAGCCGGTTCTGGAGAGAGGCTTCTTTCCAACTCTGGCGATCATGGACACTGAGATATTCCGAGGGTTGACAGTAACATCGTCCAGAATGCCCACGTCACTCAAATTGTAGTCGCCTTCCTGGTTGAAACTTTTGGCGTATATGTACCAAACTTGAATAACCTTTTTCAGCCAATCTTCGAGTTCGATTCTCATCCCGGCGATGACTTCAACGTCGTGGATGCTGGCCCCTCCTTCTTTCAATTTTTTCAACAGATCCTTACTAAAGTACAGTTTTATCACGTTTTCACCACCAAAACAATCGTCTTTGCTCTCTGGGACTTCTTCTTCGTTGGAGTTTCCACTTTCACGCTCTTCCGATTCCTTTCTACGAGTTTTCCCCTCCTCAGAATCTGATGGCCACGGGACATAAATCTGTTTATCCGGGCATTTGTCTTCGTTTTCTCTCACAAAACGCTCGCATCGCGAGCCCATGTAGCCCGTGTTGCATCTGCACTCATACGATCCTTAAGAAAAAAAAAACAATGGGATATTGACATGGATGTCCATGCACTCCTTTTCTAACAACACCGGGGTTGTTAGAAGACGCCGTCACACTGCTCATTGGTTATAATAAATTTAATGCCTACTTCAATATTATGTATTCAGCACATTAATGCATTCTATTGCCTGTATTCTTGAGAGGGAGATCTTAAACGTTCAATAACTTCCATGCATAGCAGTATTTCCAGTTGAATTGGGGCTTGATTTTCAGTGTTTTACCTTAAATCCTCCCACCTATTCCGAAAGAACTTTCTCATTGACCAGCGATAACAAAATTTATATGCCACACCCAATGAGTGTGAGTGTGAGTGGGTTTTTCGAACACAGACGTATATGCATGCGATAAAAGCCAGGGGCCGGTTGTACGAAAGTTGGATAGCGCTACCCACCGATAGTGATTTTTTCAATCGCTCTGAAATTTCCCGTTCTTCGGTATAATACAGATTAAACCGGAGTATTTTTTATTTGTACGGATTCTTATAATCAATTGTCAGCTTCAAATCAGTCGTTTAATTACATTTCACGCTCTTTCAAGCCGATCACTATCCGATGGATGGCGTGTCCAGTCTCCGTACCCTTGCCCCCTCGTAACCTTGTCCTTAAGACCTACCGATATGATCGATGCATTCACCGTACGGATGACAAGGTTGAGAAGCACAATCGTCGATGTTTGTTTCACAAAGCCAATCCGTGAATCCTCTATCGCAATCACACGTTATGTTATTAATCCCGTCTGTACACGTGCTATGTCCTTCATTACAACTGTAATGGAAGTTCCCTGCTTCGCATTCATTAATATTATGGCCGCAACGAGTACCATTATACCCGGCCGGGCAAGTGCAACTGAAAGTCAAAACATGATCGTGACACGTGGCGTTATTTTCACAAGCGTCACACCGCTTTGCACTCCGTTCGCACGCAAGGCATTCCGTTGCGTTTCGTTCGCACGCAAGACACTCCGTTCCGTTTTGCTCGCAGGCAAGGCACGCTGTTTTATTTACATGATCACAGGCAGGACAAATCGTCACATCATCACCTTCGCAATATTCAGAACTCAAGCAATCGTCAATGTTGCTGCAATTGTATCCGTCTCCTTCGAAGCCGTCCAGACATGCGCACGAGTATGTGAAACCATCAATCCTATCACAACTTGCGTTTACACTGCAGTTGTTTACAGGAAGACATGGATCGATTCTGGAGACGTTGACATGAACACTACCATTGAACGACTTAGGCGGTTCGCCATTGTCCGTAACTTGAACCAACGCCGTGTAATTCGGACTGATATCATAGTTCAAGAATGGCTTACTCAAGATCAGGTATGATTTATACAATTCAAATGAACGTTGTTTTACACCGAGTCTAGTCAAAATCGGAGGATCGAAGGTGGCGTTATACGGTTCCTTGACAATCTCAAAAGGTGTTCCGCTCGATATCAAAGTGTATTCCAGCACTTGCCACTTCTCTGGGTTATTGCAGACTAGTTCGCTGATGTTCGTACCTACTGGCGCAGTTTCTTCGAATGTGATGTTCCCAGGACTTAAATTAATCTCATTCGCGCCTTCATTAACTTCGTTTACGGTGATGTTGAGATTCCTGGTCAATGATAACCTTGGTTGGCCGTCGTCTGTTGCTTTGATTGATACATTTATGAAAGGAGAATCCAGTTTTTCGTAGTCCAGTTTTGCATTTGAGATCACTTGCAAGCCCGCGTTCCGTGTTACCTGAAGAAAAACATTGAAGATAGAGAAGGAAGTCAATTTCAAGAATGCTATTTTTCCTTGTTGAAAAACGCAGACGGAAACCCTCTGAAACTTACATTGAATGTCTCATCAAATTCCCCGATGACTTGGAATGAACAGGTTTGCTCACGATCAGGATCTTCGCACATCAAATCTCCGAGTGAATAACCAACATAAGCGATCTCGTCCACAGCGTATGTGCCGTTTAAGTACAAATTAACGGGCACCTCATTTACATCTCTTATAATGATTGTGAAAGTTTCTGACCTCGATAATGGTGGATCACCGCTGTCCGAGCAGTTCACTTTTACTAAACCAAAAAAAAGAGATCATCGGCAATTGTGCTTAGCAAAACTTTCACTATAGTGATATAGCGGCCAGATAAACGGTTATCGCTCTGAAAGATTAATATGAAATGCAGTAGGCTAGAGATAGCATTACAAAGGTGCGTTGAAATATAGCCTTGTAAAGTTTTTTAATTTTGAGTTCATTTGTATTGTGTGCAGAACATTTGAGTATAGTGCTAAAAATGTAACTATTGGACTTAATGTGGTAATGATTTCTATGTTCACCAAAGTATTCATTGATTGCAGCTATTTCGCCAATCAGGGTAAAAAAATTTCAGTCATGTTAGTTGCCTTTTTGAAAAAAATAATCTGCCATAAATAAATAGACTAGTTGCAATGTGAATAAGTGTTTTCTTTTATTGTAAAACTTACTTGAAATCGTACTGTTTCTTTCATAATTAATTACCGATCCCTTCTTCACACGAAGAGACCAGTTCTGATCAGGTGTTTCATCCAGGAAAAAGAACTCCGAATCTTGAACAAAACAAGTGTGGGTCTGGCCAACATCTTGATCGAGGACCTCAAATACGATAGCAGTCTCCCCTTGTGTGTTTTCGTCCAGTGTTAAGTTCGACAGATTTCTGATTTCGTAGGGTTTGTCGTTTACATCGAGTATTTTCACTGTTATATTTTCCTAAATCAGCGATAGAATTGTAGTCAGAATTTCTATCAACTTCTAGTCAACAAAGAAAATGTACGAGAAAGCGAGTTTCTAAGGAAAATTTTATGGACACACATGCAGAAACAGCCCGTGGTCAAAGAAGAAGAGAATTTTCATCTCAAGTCGTGCAATTAGAAACTTTTAGTTTTTTCCGCCAATTGGGTCGGCAATTAAGCTTCTACCGACGGCCCTAGCTCGTCTGGTGAGCACTAAGGTCTTTTATGACAATGAAGTACACAGCTCTGTATCGACGTTACCTGAATAGACATCGGTGGATTTCCACTGTCAGTTGATCGAACATGAATAACAAATTCAGCTTGTGTTTCGAAATCCAAGCGATCTGATTCTTTCACTAGCAGCTTGTCGCCGCTGATGCGAAATGTCACTGGAATACACAAAGATGTGACATTAGGCTTACAGTTGAACTGCTGTAATAGAAAGTTATTACATTCGATGTTAAGAGTTCAAAGACTCAACTTACAGTTATAGTCGAGCAAGGTATAACTGTGAGTGTCATGTTGATCAGGGTCATCTGTTATGAAGTTTCCAACAACAGTGCCATTTATGGCGTTTTCATTCACTCCCGATGAATTGAATCCCATGGAGACAGGTTTGTCGTTCATATCAAGAATCTAAAATAAAACTTGTTGAATTATCGGTACCAAGTAATATTCTAATCAGGCGATATGATCCACTAAAAAGACTGGGATAACATAGAAATACCTGAATTTCAAATTCTTTTGTTTGGTTCAAAGATGGTGTCCCGTCATCCTTTGCGACAACGCTTATGGAGTAACTACTCTTCTCTTCATAATTGAAAACTGCTGATGTCAGCAAGCTGTTTCCGTTGATGGAAAATTTTGACGAGTCGTCCTCTTTGTCGGAAAATTCGAACGATAATGTCTACAAAACCAAAATACGATATAAACACTTTGAAGACGTGGTCTATACAAATTGCTGTTAAAACTAATGCATTCTTGAACTAATATTGATCGTAAAACGATACCAAGGAAGTTCCTTTTGCGTTTGTATTTACGACGGTTTTAGACGAAAACTATCCTCCACAATAGATGACGCCATATTGCATAATGGTAGGGATATGCAAAATGGGATATTCAACGGCATCATATATGAGTGAACCTTGATGAGTCTCGTTCATCCATGTTGCTATTAAAACCTAGACTGTTTTTGCTTTAACTACAAGAAATGGTTCGGACTTCAGTCACTTCACCGTTAATCAAGCTGTCTATTTTTTCGCCTATTTTTTCCAACATCCGCGATTTTAGCCCAGATTTCTGACAAGGTTTGAACAGATGACCTAAATTTCTTAAAAGCTCTTTGAGCCACATCTACTTGGAAAATGGCGAGAATACTAACGTCATTTTGGTCGTGGTCTTGGGCAACCAGGATGCCGACAAATGTTTCCACAGGTTCATTTTCTGGAATTTCGAAAGTACCATTTACCATCTTCAGGTTGTAAGGTGCTTCGTTGACGTCTGTTATGAAAACTTGAAACAACTGGTAGATGCTAAAAGTCGAATTGCCATTTTCAGTGCAGTTGATCTGAAAAAACAAAGAAAATTGAAAGAAAATATAAAGAAAAACAATAAAATACAGAAATATGATGAAACAAATCATAACGAATATAATAGTCCAAATACACAGACACATCAACAACAAACGGTACACAAACATGTAGAATCTATAGCCTTAATTTTTTTGTGAGTGTTTACCTTCACGGAATAGTCAGACTTAGTTTCGAAATCTAAGTCAGCCTTGGACACAACCAACCGCATTTTTGATACCTAAACAATCGATAATAGATAGCTTAATCTAATTTTTCTCCAGCTTTTTGTTTTCCTCAGCGTAGTGCAGTGTTCTTATGGCAAAAATATGGAAATTATAAACGGACGTACTTTGAAAGGAACGTTGTTTACAACGTGACAAGTGTAAAAATGTTTTTCTTCATTGACGTTGTCGGGATCTGAAACATTGAGATTTCCTACCAACGAATCCACGGCGCTGTTCTCTGCTATCTGTAATACGTATTCATTTTAGTTTGAAAATAATATTGCAAAAATTCATATCAAATAACAAACAATACCATATTAATTTCTATGAACCAAGCAAAATAACATTGGTTACCATGCCATATAGAATATCCTCACAGTACAAAAAAAGTCGCACAGAGGTCTTTTCTTGATGACGAAAATTATGCATCTTTTTGTAGCCAAGAAATATAATCAAGGACTTTGTGAGCATAAGTAACACTGTACACTAATGTATACAATACCTTGTTCTTATCAAGCGTGAGGTCATTTGGTGCTTCGTTGACATCGAGGACATCGAGGGTAAACGTTTTGTTGAAGGTGAATTGTGGATACCCGTTGTCTTCAGTCATGATCTCCAACTTGAACCCCGTAACAGCCTCGTAATCGATATAAGAAGCGACTGTTAGTTTCCCAGATGTTGGATCTAACTTGAGTGCTTTTTCATAACCAGAAATGCTAGAGAAAATATTTTGATATATTAGAGGCGATGTATGGCTATTTTATCATAATTAAAATCCATTTTTTTCAAATCAGACCAATATCACTCTTACATCTTTGAGTTGTAGTCGAAAGCAGTGATCTTCTTAATGAAAAAGCGATGCGTTTGACCAGCGTCTTGATCCACCGCAGTGAATACAGTAACAGATGAGCCCAGGTTACTGTTTTCAGAAATAGCCAGCGGAGTGCTTATCAAAATATCGGTCGGTTGGTCATTGGTGTCCCTTATGGTAATACTGAAGTCTTGAGTTAAATTCAGACCTAGAGAAAATACGAGTATCAATAAACATTGTTTGGCAACTGTGCGATGCCTATGTACTACTTTCAAGGTTTCAGGGTTGTTTCCGTTCCACGTTATTTTAACATGCCCAGATAAATGTGAAGTATAAATAGGAGAAAGAAAAGATCAAGATATAAAATTATTTTGCAAACGAGGTCCTCTGCCATGAATCAAACCCTCTCCTGTTGGGCTACGGAGGATATAGCTTTTGGGTGTAACCTGCAGGCTGCCTTAAATTTTGTTGAAATAAAATTCCCTGTATTACGATTACTTTTTCCCAATAATAGTCAATCTTACCTCCTTGATCAACAGTATTGATTGCTAATTGCCACAAGTTCCTGCTCTCGTAATCCAAACTTGAGTACGTCCTGAGTTGACTTCCATTAATATAAAACATATTCTCCTCGCTTGCTGATACCAAGAAATACTTAAACGACTGCGCTTTATCCGGGTCTATGGTACTTAATTCCCCTACGAGCAAAGGACCCCCGTTTTCTGACACCACCTTGTTCGACAGCTTAATCTGTTCTGGCCTTTCATTGATGTCGAGAACTTGAATGTCGAATGATTTTTGTATAGTTAAAGGCTTCGAACCAGAATCGACGCATCTTATTATAATACCGTGTGTAGTTGATTGTTCGTAGTTTAGGTCGCCCGAAGAGACTAGTAACGAGTTTTCGCTACCGGAGATCTTAAAGCGGTCTTGCGCAGAGTCGACGAGTTGGCATTTGTGCGTCTGCCAGTCACCCTTTGGTCCGCGGTTGTCGGGGTCGTCAATGGTGATATTAGCGACCAGAGTTCCGCTTTGGCTGTTTTCAGCGATGGTTAGACCGCTGAGAATTATATTACTGGGAGGTTCATTCACGTCTTCGACCTAGTAGAGAAAATATAGGAATTAGAAATATTTATAGTCTTTGAAAAAAGTCAGACGTTCTTTGAGGCAAATGGATGTTTTCGATTGGCTAATGAATCAGTCAATTTTGAATGGTCAATAAGCCAGTAGTGGGCCAATCAGCAATATGCTGAGCACGTTATGGTGCCGACTTTTTAGTGAGTTCTATATGAAGCAAGGGGTTGAATTCACAGTTATTAGTGGATAATATCATAGAAATTAGAAACATAGCCGTCTCGCGTTCGTCTTATCAGTATAAGACTGACTCTACAGCCCCTAATTAAACTTTTAACGATGGCCCTGACATTGGGGCTTAAATTTACCGGAGTCATTTCCGGATAGACTTGCATTTTCGCAGAAGGAAAAAACCAAATAACCAACAACCGCTTCATCTAGTTTTTCCGGCAGCCATCACCTCCGCCTGCCAATTTAAAGGCGATGCCTGCAACGTATTACTGCGGAACCTACTGCCTCAACTCACAGGATTACAGCATACCTCAATAGTTAAGTTCTGTTCGATACTCTTCGGAGGGCGACCGTTATCCGTAGACATGATTTCAATCGTAAATTCCTGTTTCTCTTCATAATTTAGATCTGCTCTCTGTGACGTAAACAGCTTGTTTCCTTTTATGGTAAACTTCGTACTTCCTTTCAGAGTGTAGACGTGAGACTGGGAAACATCTTCATCTGTAGTCACCAGTTCACCGATCAGTTTATCGTTCGCGTTCTCCTTTACCCGACCGGTTAACGAACTCTGTATGGTCACATTTTCCGGTTGGTCATTCTTATCCAGCAAAGTGATCGTGAAGTTACTGACACGTGAGTGGTTGCCATCTGAGACTTCGACAATTATTTCATGGGAGGGTATGTCTTCGTAGTTTAGATGACCACTGACCACAAGTTTGCATGTGCATATGGTTTTATTGTCTGAAGTGCCGTTGTGGCAGGTTATGGTACTTGTATCAACCGAAAAACGCCCACCTGGATGAACAGAAAAGCATCTATAGGAAGTCGTGCTGACGTCGGGGAAAAAAGCTGGGGGGTACAGGTCAAGGGGAGGAGCAGAACGAGACGTTGGGGGTCATGCAAGAAGTGGTGGAGGAACTAGAGGTATAGAGACTAAGGGTGGAGTTAGGAAGATGATCTACCTGCGTCATCATCCATTGTGTACGTCAAAATCTGTCCAGCGTCATCATCTAGAGAAACCAAAGTTCCCACTACCGTGTCCTTTGCGGAATTTTCGTTAATCGTCGCGTGGTCGTCGGAATACGATTGTTGACCGTCAGTTGACGTTAAACTTGTGTTCACCGGAGCTTCGTTAACATTCTTGATGATTATCGTAAATTTCTTCTCCATCTGAATTAAAAAAACGGCATAAATTGTATGCTGGAGAAATATCTGTTTTTTTGAAGGAATAAAGAAACCATCATCAAATGCAATTACGTTTTAGATCATGTTATACATATTTCTTGAAATATCGTGAATATTAGTTTGAATTCTGGTTCAGAAATATGTGAAATAGCCTCCTATTATCACAAACAGAACAGATGCCCCCTGTCATCCATTTTAATGATAAATGAACTTCGTACAAACGGGCCCTGGGCTATGAAAAAGACGATTGCAACCAACATCACACTTATTCCTCATTTCACGAAATACCGCTTCTCACTTACCGATTTCGGCGGAACACCGCTGTCCGTTACCCTCACAGTGACATGCGCAATGCTGGATTTCTCGTGGTCTACAGGGTTCGCTACGTACAACCGACCGTTTGTCTCGACCCCAAACAGACCCCGACCTCCCCGCACTAAAGTATAGCTCAGCGAGTTCTTGTCCTCGTCGGAGGCCGTGAAATAGCCGACGGTAGTATTCAATACGACATTCTCTTTTACCCAATACTTTGACAGCGCCAGGTCACGTGGTTGATCGTTGACGTCATCAAGGGTTATGTTAATGCCCATGGTCAGCTGCTGCGGAGGTATCCCGTCATCCGTCGCGCGTACAAGTATTGTGTAAAAGTTTTCCGCACCTTCGTAATTCAGGAGACAACTTTTTCCGCCATGGAGCAAACAGTCGGTGTTTGAGATTGCGACTCTGATTTCGGAGTTGTTAACCAGCTTGAATCTACCAAAAGCGCTGTCTAGTAAAGTAAATTGATGAACTTGGCCAAAGTCTTCATCGGTTGCACTAAGTTTACCAACCAGCCGTCCTTCATCGGAATTTTCTTTGATATTCTTGGGTGAGAGATTAATCTTTGATGGACGCTCGTTCACGTCTAGAATAAGAAAAAAAAAAGTTATTTGCTTAAGCGAATAAACATTTTATTGCTTTCGTGGGGATTATAGGGGCTATTCAAGGATTGTGGGGAACGTGGAATGGGGTTTTTGGTCATATATTCATCGCAATTAAACTTGTACAACCTGTTCATTTTCCCGTGGAATATTGCGACATTTCAGTAAATTTACATATCACGATTCACGTGAATACGTGAGCCTACCGTATAAAAGTGAGCATGAACTGTTAGTTCATGGTCATTGATTTAACATTTCGACTCTCAGCCTGAATATCGCTCATTCATTATTAACAGGTATCGTACCTTTCATTTTATTATTTGTGTTGTAACTATGGATGGTTCAGTACCACAGGTTTTAATTTTTGGACATTCGTTTGTACGTCGTCTGCAGAATGACTTAGATAATGCATTTGATTTACAATATATTACTTGGGGGTTCTCAAGTGAGACGATTCATGTTAAACCACGTATCAGAATTATATGAGGGAGGTACTCAAGTTAGTGGGAAATTCGCCTTCCGACTCCTAACACTTAGAGAGGACAAAATGAAGGTTTATGTGTACGATATGATAAATGTACAGTGAATATGCAAAGGCATTCTCAAGTTGATTTTTGTCCAATCTCGATTATCACATTCAAATAGTCAAAACACGAGATTCTTTCCTTGTCGAAGAACGAGGAACATAGAGGTTGTGCTTTAGGAAAATCTGTGCGAGATTATGAAGCAAGACCCTCGTATTCAGAATATTATCCTGACCTTGTACTGAAATGACAAAACTGCGGTTGACACTCAAGGGAGGCGTTCCAGTATCACGAGACTCGATGGTAATGTTCCACAATGATGCAACTTCATAATCCAAGGCTCGCGTGGTGATCAAACTGTCGGTATCATTAATTTTAAATGGTAAATTCACGCCTGCGATTAGCCGATATGAGAAGCTTTGTCTCATACCGATTTCATTGTCGGGGTCGATCGTGGAGATGGTGGCTAAAATAAAAATGGCCAAAAATCAATGTGAGGCTTTTTTGAAAGAGCGATAAAAAGTTAAACAATTAAATGCATATGACAGAATGGCATGACGACCCGTACAAGTATAAAGACATTGGCAAGGGCTGACAATTTGATGAAGGAACGGTTGTGTGGATAAGTGTAAAAGTAAGACTTTATTGTAACAGTTTTTCTGAAAGCTAATCCGGAATTCTTGACGCTCAAAGGAAAAAACACAAGGAAAGGACTTAACTTACCAATCACAGCTTTGTCGCGATTCTCAAGAACGGTCAAACCTGACAGAACAATATCACTTGGCGCTTCGTTGATGTCTCTGATAGTAACGGTAAAATCTTGAACAAGTTTCAACCTAGGAGACCCACTATCTGTGCACTCTATGGAAACATTGTAAATAAAAGGTGTTGTTTCATAATCGAGGGCCACGCTGCTCACCAAACGCCCAGAATTTATCCTAAACTTATTCTGATTAACCACGACGCATAGATGGATTTGTCTTCGGGAGACGATGTTATCGGGATCATTGACAGTGACGTTAGATATCACAGTCCCGGGGGGCGAGTTTTCAAGTATTTCTGTATTTGAAAATTCAATACTCGTTGGTGCTTCGTTGATGTCCGTCACAAAAATCGTAAAGTTTCGTGAAACGCCGTAAGCTGGTACTCCATTATCAAGTGATTTTACAGTGAGAATATATTTCGATCTTTTCTCGTAGTTCAAATATCTTCCTTGGCTAACATAGATTTTCGTTCCGTTCACCCTGAATAACCCTCCGAAATCATCCATCAAAGAATATATCCAGGTCTGTAGTCTGTCTTCGTCCCTCGTTTCCAGTTCTCCAACTAACGCGCCGTCAAAGTTTTCGGCAACAACCGCTGACACACCTCCCCCCAGACTGATGCTCGTGGGCACATCGTTGGAGTCCAATACTTTGATATCAAATCTCTCCACAGTGAATAACCCGTGGTTGTCTGTAACACGCACAGTTATCGAACGAACAGCATTTATCTCATAATTCAGTGGTTTAGATAGCAACAGTTTTACAGTACACTTCGTTTTGTTCTGATCTTTTGCACTGGATTGGCAAATCGCACCCAAAGACTCCAACGAGAATTCACCTTGGGAATCATCATCTAGTGAAAACTTGAGATCTTGATTTGCGTCGGTGTCTAAGGCTAGCAAGGTTCCCACAATTTTTCCGGTCGTGGTGTTTTCAAACACTTCAGGAGTCTGGGGCCCGGTAAAGTTCACTGTAACGGGAGCCTCGTTGACGTTGAGAACTTCAATTATGAAGTTTCGTGTGAGCTGTAAAAGAAGCGATAAAATTCAAATGAGCTCCATCCTAATAAACAAACTATATCTTGTTTTGTAAAACTTTTTTTTTCACAAGGCAATATTCCATTAGGCAATCTCAATCACTAAAGATAGTATTTTTCGCGAGCTATTTCATCAAATTTTAGATGTTAGCCATCGAACAAAACCTGAATTCTTTGAGAAACACGTGAATTTCGTTAACCAAAAGTTGTTGCTAGGTTCACGGTTTCTTGATCCGTAGACATTTTTGGTTAAAATAAAGTTAAAATAGTTTAGCTTGCAGTTGGCTGATCGTTAAATGCACAGACCTAATCGATATCTTCGATCGATGAATCGATCAAACAATCATCCCTGAAAAATTACCTTCAATGCATTATAGCCATTATCCGTAACAGCCACCCTAATGACGTGGCTCTTATTAGCCTCGTGGTCGAGTGATTTTGCTGTCACCAACTTATTACCAAGCAAGACAAATCTCCCGCCATCGGTATCAATTAATGAGAAGCTCAAATTTTGTCCGGCATCCTCGTCACGTGCTGTAAAAGAACCAATCACAGTTCCCGATGTTGCATTCTCGTATATCTTGTTTTTGTCCAACGTAAGGTCTCTTGGTCTATCGTTGTCATCAGTGAGGTAGATGATGAACGTTTGGTCAAAATGTTTCACAGGATTTCCATTATCTGTTGTTCTGATGGAGATGTTAAAGCTTGCTTGAGCCTCATAGTTCAGCCCACATAAGCTACCTCCAAATTGAAGGCAAAGTGTGTTTGAGATTGCCACCTTTAACGAGAATAAACCAATATTAACAGATCGAGATTAAAATTTGTAAATATTTGACTTTCTGAAAATACCTTCACTGAACGTCCTTCAATCTTGAAACGACCGCCAGCGGTATCCAAGAGTGTGTACGCATGCCTCTGGCCAATATCTTGGTCACTTGTTGCCAGGTTACCAACAACAGCATCGACACCGCTGTTTTCTTTGATTTGAACGTTTGAGAGCTACGCAAAACAAAAACGACCGCCATTTGTAAAGTTTGCTTAAACTTACTATTAATAAGTTTAAGACCTCAAATTAAAGATAGAGGAAATAATGGTCTATGAAAATAATCTGTTTGGGGTTAACTAGTAATTTAACAGCTCAAAACGTGGTCAAGAATTTTGTTAGAAACAAGACTTAATATAGGGGTATTTTCCTCACCTGGATTGCAAATGGTTTATCATTAACATTCAAGACATCCACCACAAGGCGTTCATCGCGATAGAGAGATGGCTTCCCGCTATCTCGGGCCCGCACTGAAACAGTCCAAGACTTTGAATTCTCGTAATTCAGACTTCTAGTTGTTCTCAATACATTGCCATTGATTACGAAAGGACTGGCCCCAAACGCATTCAGAAAATAGTTAAAGCTCTGTTTTGATTGGTTGTTGGCGTTATCCGGATCTTGCGTTGAAAGAATACCAACTACCGCTGATCCGTTATTCTCTGGAATTTGGGAATTCGACAGAGCCACCTTTATTGGCGCCTCATTTACATCGTCCACGATTACATTGGAATCAGCTTCCTTTTTTAGCCCATACGGATCGGAACAAAGGACACTAATATTGTGCGAGATGGCTTGTTCATAATCGAGGGAGTTTACAGCCTGGATGAGGAAATTCTGACCGTTTTTAAGGACAATCTGGAATTTTCCTTGGGCGGAGTTGGTTAGCCGGCAAACGTGAGACTGCCTTTGTGGATAGTTTCCGAAGTTATCAGGATCTTGAATGGTAAAGTTACCAATAACAGTTCCGGAGGGGCTATTCTCCTGGATGTTCGCATTACTGAGAGTTATGCCAACAGGAGCTTCGTTTTGATCGATCACGTGAACAATAAATGATTGGGTCGATGACGTCAACGCGGGAGATCCATCGTCAGTTGATGTTACCATGACAACATATTGGGTTTTTTGTTCGTAATCTAACGCATCTTTGAGATACAAAAATCTATTTCGTCGAACTTCAAAAATATCAGTATTGCTAAGCAGATTATAATGGTGATTCTGATTTTTATCCTCGTCGGTAGTCACCAGTTCCCCAATGAGCGCAGCCCGGCTGTTTTCGACAACGCTAGCTTCCAGATTCCCTGAGATAGTCACATTGCTCGGCCGATCGTTGTTATCAAGAACGGTGATGTTAAACATTCGTACTATGAACTTGCCATGTTGATCTGTTACACGGACAGTGATTTTCAAACTTGGGGTAACTTCGTAATTCAATGATCCTTTCACCTTCAATTGCGCTGTACATTTGGTAATGGTCTTTTTCGGGTGGGTACAAACTGCTGGTGTTACCACGAAGGACTGCAAGGGATTGATGTCCAGAGTGAAAATAAGATTCTGCGAAACTTCATCATCTGTAGCTTCTAAAGACCCCACCACTGCATTGACAGTCGCATTTTCATTGACTTTCCCCTGGTCTCGTGGGAACGATAGCTGACCACCTTTGTCAGTAAGATGGATACTGACTGGGGGCTCGTGGGCGTTTAATACTTCAATCATAAATGTCTTTTTCATCTAAATCAATTAAGGAAATATGGAAAGGCATTCAGTCGTTAGTTTTCGAAGTATAATCAGGTAAGTGTATAAATGCAACTCGTCTTTAAATAGATATTAGTCCACCCCTATTTCTCCCCAAAAGCAATATGGCGATACCGACCTGTTTCACAGGTGTTCCATCGTCTTTCACAACGGCCGTTATAAAATGAGTTGTGTTCGTCTCGTAATCTGTTGCCAAAACTTTTGTCAAGATTCCATCCGAACTCACAGCAAATCGTCCTTGGTCATCGTCAGATAAAGTGTAAGTCAAATGCTGTCCAGAATCTTCGTTCTGCGCTGAAAATCTTCCGATAACAGTTCCTATTTTTGCAGTCTCGTTTACGGTGTTTCCACTTAAGCTCAGTTCTCTTGGCTGGTCGTTTACATCGGTGAGGTTAATTGTGAAAGTTGCGTTTATCGATAAAACTGGGTTCCCGTTATCAGCACTTCGTACAGTGATCTGGTGGCTTGGGTTTGCCTCGTAATTCAGTTTACAAAAATCTCCACCCTTTGCAAGGCAATTACCATTGCTTATAGCGACCTAAATTTTTAAGTATAAAATATGTCATATAAGCAGTTGATCATTGCAGTACTGCTAGTCTAACTGAGTGCTAACTGTTGCTATACAAATCCGAGCCTAACTAGTCCAGTACTTACTGCTTTGCAATGTTTATTTCTCAGAATATCATCAGCCAATCACTGACAGGACGAGTGTCTACTGTTTCAAACCTAACTCCAAACTTGCTACTCTTGCTGCCTGACTAGTTCTACGTCATGGGTTATTCCTTATTCCTCCCTCGCGGGTGGTAGCCACGTATGCAGGCGGTTTTCTCAAGTTTTGCCCACCTTAAGAGATCTTCCGTCAATTTTAAAGCGTCCAGCCGCCGAGTCAATCAAAGTGTAAGAATGTGTTTGAGAGTTGTCTTCGTCTGTGGTTGATAACAAGCCAACGACAGCGTCGAGGTCTGGATTTTCTGCTATTTGACGATTTGATAACTGCAATATAAAGTGAAAAATTACTGTAGTGAATCCACACAGCGAAAATGGTTCTTGAGTTATGACTAAGCCTCGAACGAGTATAGCTGTGTTTCACTCATTGGTTTGAAACTCTTTTTCACCACGGGCCAATTGTATAAAGCCTGGTTAACTTTTAACTGTAGTTAAGGACAGAATTGCCCATTCAGAGTTGTGTATTTCTGAGTTAACTAGGATTTAATCATGCAAAATGTAGCTAAAGAGTTTTCAAGAGTTTTACACAACCGGCCCCAGAGGTTTGCATTTATCAACGAAAACCAGGTAATTATCCTACCTGAACAGAGGTAGGTCTTTCGTTGATATCAGTTAAGGTGACTGTTATCACTTGGTTTATAAACAAGGAAGGATTGCCATTGTCTGTGCTTCGAATTTTCAAGTCATATCTATATAACACAATTGTATTACAAATATTCGGTAGGAAACCAAATAAACAAAATGGGCAGTTCGTAGTTTAGATAATTTTCTTATCTTTGCAAAAAAGGATATTCCTTTAAAAAGCATCAAACAATTAACGAAAAATAAAATCTTCAAGATAATGATAATTTTAATCCAGAATTCAATGCATTATATGCTTCAACGTACCGTTTGTTCATCGTCTCATAGTTCAGAGCGACGGTGGTGTACAATTTATTTCCTCTGATGGTGAACTTTGCCTCTCCCCCGGATATTAAGGTATACGTGTGTGAATCCCGGGGATTTGGATCCAGTGAAGTCAGGACTCCAACGAGTGTGTCACGAGGACTATTCTCGGAAATGCTGCGAGATCCTGATAGAATAATCTAAAGAAGAAATGGCTTTTTTGAAACAAAAGAATACTTGCTGTTGATTAAAAAACCAACACAACTCTAACATTTTCGACACTCTTAAACGAATCCTAGACATTTATTTGACTTTTTAACCAGTTATACAAGCCAGTAAATACGTCGTTAAACAAATTACCCGCGTGGGTGGATCATTGATTCTCCGACAATATGTTGCAGCTGAAGAGCTCCAAGTGCCAGCCGTCGTACACGTGACACTGCGGGCGCCTTGAAGAGCGTAAGTACTGGGGCAGAGTAGCGAACATGTAACTGGATACGTAGTTTGATTTTTAGGACAGGATACAGCGGCGTGTTTGCAGGTTGTTCCCAATCGGGTTCCTAGAAAAAAGACTAGGTTGTAAGGCTTCAGACTTATTATCGAGTCTTCAATCCAAAACTTACACTCGACTTACCATCGAGTTCTCAATCCATGTTTAATTAAATAAAACTGAGACAAATTTGATTTTTGTACACAGTTATAAATATGATCTAAATATGATTTTTGTACACAGTTATAAATATGTTATAAATATGATCTTTGCTATTTTTTATGTTTTCTTGCAGTGGAAATAATTTCCATACAATTCTAATGAAAAGAATTTTCCTTTCGTTCAAATCATACCTGGAGCGCAATAACTCAATGTAAGCAACCCACAATCCTTTGCTAAACATTGTTTACTTCCTCTAAGATAGTATCCAGCGTTACAGGAACAAACACCATTTCTACATTGATGTTCACAGCCATTGTTTGGAGAGCCGCATTGCGTGGATTCCTATTAGGAAAATATAAAAATTCTTGAAAATATACTGTAAAAATTCAGATGAAGGGGCAGTCGTTCCATAAGAAATACCTTCAGTACAGGACACGACCTTCCATTACATTGTTTGGCTTGCGTGACCACTCTTGTTCTATCTTTGTTCCCAACTGAACACGTTTGATCACACTTACCCCACGATGACCAATGTCCGACCTGGGGATGATGAAGACGCAGTTATATATTCTGTAAAGAATTAGCTAGAGCGGATTTGGGATTAATGCTAAGATCTAAAAGATCTACGGTGCGGCAGCTGGGAAAATAAGGTCTCTAAGTCTCTAATATGAAGCCCCTCGCCGTTCCGCTGACCCTTGCAACAGCAGCAAGACCACGCCCCTACCTTGCAATCTCTGTTGTTTCTGTAATCAGTACAGGGTTTGTACGCTTCGATTGGTCCACATTTTCGACCATAGCACAAGGGTTGTTGGACAATCCTACGAGATTTCCGTTGCTTTCCGACACCACAGCCGTTGTCACAAACAGACCACGAGGTCCACGCCCCCATTTGGCAATTTCGGTTGTTATACTGAGTACAACTATTACTTTCGCTCAGAGCTCCGCAACTATTACCACCACAACTTGGAGGTCGCTGTATTGTACGAGTCCGGACCGATTTTCCTAAAGGTACATCGATATTTATACGATTTTTCGAGCTGAATTTTGCTTTTGGTAGACGGTGATAACGTGTTGATAATGTTGTCATAAGGTTAACCAGCAGCATTTTATTTCTCATTAAGTTAATTGCGTCTGAATTTTCTTAACAGATACTTGTTTACAAACATGAGAATTGTCTTTTGCTGGATGTTAATGACGAATGCATGGAGTTGGTAGTGCCGTGTTTGCCTGGTGAGTTTTATTTATCATGTGCGTACTTCTAAATCAACCCGATGGATACGTCAGCCATACGTCTTATCTGGCAAATTATATTGAATTTCGCTCATTTTATTAAAGATCGCAATATTTCCTAATATCCAATACATATCAACTTTTTCCGGCAAAGATTTTTTTACTGCCTTAACAACAGATATCATAAGACTAACCAAAATATCACATAATGTACTACTCAATCCCTACTTACCCTGTCCACACGTGGAGGAGCATGCTGACCACGCGCTCCAAGAGCTTAGCTGACAGTGAACAGGACAACAGCTATGTACACAGGCTCGACTTTGCAATGTTGCGGGACAGGGTAAACTGCAGTAACTAGCACGAGTTATCGTTCGAGTACGCTTCTCTATCCCCCCGCCACACTTGCCGTTTGTAGCAACACATGCCTGCCACTTTCCCCATGAGCTCATCTAGGAGAAATAATATGATATAGGTCAGAAGGATAAAGGTCAGAAGAACAAGATCCTGAGCTGGTTTGCGGACACTTGGAGTTTGAGCTGTATACCGGGTGGCGTGAAATAACCTGTTTGATTGAGTATAACTTCAAAATTAAAGAGCAGTATGCACTAAAATTGTTTTTTATATTCGGTAACGTCTAAATTAAATTTTGATATATAGCATGAAGTTTTTCATGCAATTTTGACCGACATATATATATCGCGGTCTCAATTTAAGTATGCATTTTCGAAAAGTCATAAAAATTAGCTAAAAATGGCATATTGAAGTGTCGCCGATATCTCGAGGAGTACTGAATCAAAATACAGATGGTATATACCAAATTTTAAGTTAGACATTCACGAATCTAACAAAAATTAATTCAGTGTAACAGACGTTTTAGTTTTTGAAGTTATACTCGATCAAACAGCTATTTTTTGCGCCAACCGGTATAAGTGATTACATGCTTTATTTTTAATATCGACGCATGTGTTTGGGTCACACACCACTGACCACACGTATTACACCATGATTGAATAAAAATACAAGAACTATGAACGTACTTGGCATGTTATAGGAATCGGTGTACAGCTTTGACTCTGAGTTAATACTGAACTACAAGTGCCACCGCAGGAAGCTGGCGTTATGATGCGTCTTGACCTCGTCTGTGTACCGCTGTTTGTCTTACAAGTAGCTATAAAAAGGAAAATAATGATGAAATTAATGACATACAAATTTGAGATGACACTTTTACTGTTCCATTTATAACTTAGCGTTTGAAAAACGTTTCTATAACAATAAACTGAATAGGCTTCAGGTGCATGCCCCATGCAGGCGCATGCTTCATGCGAAAAAGTAGAAGCGCATACATACGATTATCGGAACTAAACTGGGAACTCAGATTCTTCGGCAGAAATCAAACCTATATATATATATATATGAGCAGAGCTTTTGCCGCTAGGTTATAGAAAACGTTAAAAATATGTGTATAAATCAGGTGATCTCGCGCTTATATTTTAGTCATTCAGCGTTCAGAAACGGTTTGTCGAAATTCTGCAGTATTTAACGAATTAAATCTTTCGTTATTCTTTTTGGAACCAGTCGTAATTTTGTGATTATGTTTAGGTGTAGGCACTTTAGCTCTGATATAAATTTTAAATTGAGATAAAGTATATTTGAAAACATATTAAGTTGTTTTAACCAAGAAATTTTTATTTCACAACCAGTCACAGTCTTTTCCCGCCATTTCAGATCACCTGGATAATAGCCAACAAAATTCATTTCATACTTACGGGAAGAACATTTGGTCCAGGCCGTCCATTGGGAGAGCACGCAATTTCGTGGACAACACGGACCGGTGCACGGTTGGCTGTCAGTTGTACTTGGGCAGGCATTGCCATTGCACGAACTTCGAGTTGTGATTGGTCTCGTTCGTGTCTTCGTTCCACTCCTCTCGCAAGCAGCATTACATCCTCCCCAGGCTCCCCAGCTGCCCACGCGACAGTTGACCGGACAGCATCTGGATTGAGGGGAAAAATTAGAAGGCGAAATCCATAGGTGTAGAGTTTTGTTTTCTTCTGGGGGGGCTCAAATTTTAGATACATGATATCTAGCTAGCAACACCTTCTGACATTAGATACAGTTAAATATACAATAAATTTCCTCTTGATATATAATTGCATCGGTAGTCATGGTTTATATGGCCGATAGGCGGAGAAAATATTTACCAATGATTATGACCTGTTGTGGGTAGAAAAACTAATGAAAGATAAAATGAATAAGCTGCAATGTATTTTATGATTTTATAACTCGAAAATTCTGTATTTCGCAATTGACCATAACAAAAAAGATGGCGGATGTACATTTTACCAGAATGCAATGCGGTCGGAGATAGTTTAAAAAAGCGAACTGACGTCTTTTAAAGGACAGACATGAAACAGAAAGTTATTTTCTTCGCTGTGTTAAAATTTCACGTCATTAGGAGTTTTTCTTGCCATCTTTTTTCAGTCAATCACTCTTAATGCCCGCAATGCATTCTGGTAAAATGTACATGCCGCCATCTTTTTCGTTACGGTCAATTGCCGAGTTGTTTGATATATTATTATATTCACTATGATAATACCGTTTCATGTGTACGTAAGGATGCCTTTTCAAGGATTCAACATTGCTCTGATGCAAATATTACTTTCTGGAAAATTTCTAGGAAGATTTCTCGGGGGGCTGAGCCCCTCAGCCCCCCCCCCCATACTCTACGCCTATGGCGAAAGCGATAAACAACCGAGGAAGAAAAAGATCAAGGATTCATGGGTAAGAAAACCTTTCCTTCTGAGGTGGATTGTTCGAAAGGCGTTCAGCTTTAACGTTGGATAGATAATTTTGTTTTCTATTCTTGAACTTGTCCGCCGTTTAAGCTTAACGCCTTTCCAACAACCAGCCCCTGGTAGTATTTGCTAATTTTCACCCTTTCCCATATCACTCGCCATGGAAAAAAGGGTTTGCCGAAAATACAATGAATCTTAATGAAGATCAACCAGTCTAGTCAAATAGACCAGTTATTATACTATAGAAAGCAACATCTCACGAGTATAGTGAGACCAACGCATACAGACACGACTTGCCGCCTATATGTTGGTCAAATAAACCCGAGATTCTTAAGCGAGACATGACTTTGGTATATTAAAATACGAGTAAATAACACAATCCTTGCAGCAGTGTTGCAGTCATTCAATAGGATATGCTTTTTTTGTTTACACATTTTAAAATCATCTCGGGCGACTGAGAATCGAGTAAGCAGTTGCTTAAAGTGCTTATTAAACAGCCAACTTATAATGCTTTATTCGGCGATAGATGTCCAGGCAGAATTGACTGTAAAGCACCATTTGACATAAACTTTATCATCAATAAGTGTGATGCACATGATTGGTTAGTTTAGAAACGATTATACAGTTAAACTAGGCTAACTGGGGCATTACTTGGGGTATAGCGATGGGGTATAAATTGATAATCTGTTTATTCAAGGGTCAAAGCTAAGCTATGGTGCAGATCGTCTATCATTTTATCGAAGAGCCTAAACGCAATCTTATATATTAGAAGAAACTGGTGCGCTATTACAATATCTATCTTTTTATTAAGATTTAGTTGATATACAAGATATCAATAGGGGTCGCGTTAATTGGGGTAAACTGAACATGGTTTTGCATTCAAGGTTAAGTGGAGGTATAAACAATCAATTTTACTGGCTCTTAGCCTCACGGGTTGACCTTGTAGCGAGAATACAAATAAATGATTACAAGACAAGGCAGGTCTGGGCAGGATCCAAACGTAAATTATGACTCCGGCTGCTTCCAGGAATTCTAGGCGGTTTTTTTGGAAAGGAAAACACTGGGTCATGCTATTTTTTGCTTACATAATCAGAAACGAAATGACATGATTCTTGCAATGTTTTGAAAAGAACCGAATTTACTGAAATGTTGCAGGCCAAAATCGTATCGGGCCTTGTTGGCATTTTGCCCGATAAACAGTCCAAGCAGGTTCCAGATAACGTCATGGTCCAGTTTCACGCTGTAAAAGTTGGCCTGTGAATGGACCTAATACGTCAGTAAAAATTGCCATAAAATTGCCACAATTACCATTGTAAATAAAGCTTATTTGTCCAGAAAACTGCGCAGTAAAATACGACTCCCTGTGGCCCCAAAAGGTCAGAAAACCCATACTCGAAACCTAGTATACTAGGCACTGAAATAGAGCTATTTGCTTATTATAAACAGTTTACACCTGGGCAGTCCACGAGTCTGGAAAAGTACATGTCTATTCAAATGTATCGTATAGCAACTAGAATGATTATATTCATGCGAGGACATGAAGAGTTGGCGGCTTAAAACCTTTGGCTTTGTCATAAGAACTGGTGTACACATTTGAGCTGAAGATATGTACGTCATTAATGCGTGGTAAAATCTCAAAACACGAATAACAATGTCAATGCCCTTTTCTTCAATTACCCGCGATCTTCGTTACTCCTAAATCATTTTGTGGCACTTCCATCGACATAGGATATACATTCTAAAGAGTTTTTAAGGGTCTTAATTTCAAGTGGAAAGCACACGCAGCTAAAATTCAAAGCCATGCTGAAACAGCTGAGAAAAAGCAAGAATCGAACCTACACCTTGATATAGCCACGCATTTCATACTCTTCCGGTGAAGAAAAATGCTTGATACGCCACAACATTGCCATATATCGCGTTCCATAGAGCATTTAAAAAGGACGCAATTCGGCGAACGATGATTTTTTTCGACGAAATCTTAGAAAGACATGCTTTCGACTTGGTAAATATATTTAGGTATCTAGGAACGTATAATCAATACAACTATTTGAATCAGAAAGTGAAATTGACGTCTGAAGGTGAAGGTGAAGCAGTGTTTGTATAGCTTTGTGTAAAACGAAAATAAATGTTTCAGACAAGGTCTCTTCGAGTTCGCTAGGGTGGCTTTTGCCAGGCACCAAACATCGAAAATTAAAATGAACCAAAGATAAGCCTACCGGCCATTTCCACAGGTTTCAGTTCTGGGACCAGGACAGGATTTTCCGCCGCATTTTTGGCTCGAAATAATCCTCGCATTTCGCGTTCGTTTTCCGTAGCCACAAGTAGCGCTGCACGCGGACCAACTCTGCCAGGAATAGCGACAGTTTATGGGGCAACAGGTATTCGGACACGACGCTGTATCAGTGGTTTTATAGGAGCAGTATCCTCCGCAAGATGCGTAGCTTCTTATGCTCCTGGATCGCTTCTTGGTACCGAAATATCCGCACGATGCTGAACAAGACCCCCATGAGCCCCAGCTATAATATGTGCAATCTCTTCTATAACAACGCGGTGATCTTCGACGTTGACAAGCATTGGAGCACGAAAGAATAGCGTAGAATATAACAGCGCCTGTAAGCACAAGTCGCGAAAGAACCATCTCTTGTATGGTAAAAAAGATTGCTTTTATCACGGCAATTAATGATCTCAGATTTTCTTAGGTCTGTCGTCGGACAAATTTTAACAAAGAACGTCAGTTGAAAAACGACACTTCTGGTAAAGTTCCCTAAATATATACGAAATGCTGGATGCATGCTGGGAAGTGATTATCGGATTATGACGAATGTATTCATTTTGTCTCCTGCTGAAAGCAGTTTCCAGTAACCCGCGCACTTTTGAAAACCCTTTCGAAGCAAAGTGAAACAGCTACGATAAAAGGTGTTGCACGAGTCTACCGTTTTTCCCATGCAGGAGAAAGTGTTGCCATTATTAAGAGCCCATTAGCCACTGAGCCAATTAATCAGAAAACTAGTTCTTAACCGTCCTGTAAGTACGAGGAGAAGCGAGTGTTTCTTTTAGCTAACATGACGTACATGCATGCACGCCGAACACCGATTTTATTGTTTTATTAGTTATTGTTTATCAGTTAAGTAGCCAGCAATTTCACATCACCGTTCAACGGGTTAAATTAATTCAGTTGAATTAACTCCAAATCCGCGTTGAGTTTTGTCTGAAACAACAGCGTAGGTCTGGTTGAAGATAAAATAAATAACCATCCCAAAACGAGACAAAACAAAGCCTGAAATTTGGAAAAATACTATCTCGAAGCGAAGCCTCAAACTGACTTATACCCAGTGACCTCTATATATTGAACTGGAAGGCTAACTTTGATCGAGAAACATGCATGCCATTGAAGTCAGGATGGTTTTTCTTAAGCTATGCATGAGTTGATGCATTTTTGACCTCAAACGTGTAGCTCTTATATTAAAATAAAGCTCATGGAAATTTCTATTCGGTGTGGAGATTTTGAGATTCAGGCAAATGATAAATATTTCCAGTGAAAGCAAAAAACAACCGCCATTTGGTGACCGACAGCGTAATGTATTGTGAACAAAATTATTGCTTGAGGCAAATCTGGCCGGCTTGTCGTTTCATTATAATTGCAATGTTTATATATGACGGGGAACCTGCTGACTACAGTCAGTATGCATATATGTGTTCTAACAGATGTGCCAATGTACCATGCATTATATGAAGTACCCCATCACGAACCGACATAAAATTCAGACAAGTTTAGGCCATGTTTTTGTACCACCAAACCAAACAAAAACTTTATCTCAATTCTCAGCTGATTGTTCTGGTTTAACTGAATTTCGCACTGGACGTGATCAACCTTAGTCCTTATACTTGACCTCTATAAGAACGGCAGTTGTTAAAATAGATTGAACCTTAGTTACCTAAATAAAGACGGTCCCCCTCAATGTTCTGCCGAAGATATTTGTTGAAATGTCGAACCCTCGGGGCACGATTATACACCTGCAGTTTTTCTGTCCCAGAGAACTAGTAATTACATGAAAGATCTATTGCAATGTATGAAATCCGAGAAGCATAGATGATAAAGATTGGTGTCCACTGGGGGAAAATTTTCACTGGGCAGGATCGAACACGAATGTTCATTTCTTCTGTAGTTATAAGTAAATTTATTTCGACCAGAAGTAAATACAATGGAAATATTCCAGTTCGTTGGAATATTGAGGAGCAGTTTACAAGATGTTCACAGCTCGAAATGTGAGACATTTCTACGTTTGAATTTGCTGGAAATATTTAAAGGGAATAAAACTTCGATAATACGATAAGTGCATGATATTTCGCGCTGACATTTGTCGTTAATTTCAGTTTGGGACCGATCGATGACTTACGAATGCAGATTACTAACTGTGGTCACAGAAAATTTGACAGTTTAAACTAAGCCTTATGATAATTTCTTCACTGAAAATCATCCCTTAGACTTAGTTCTTGTTTAAAGAAGCTATTCCTAAATAGACACGATAGTGCACGTTTATGGAATGCAATACGGCTCATAGGCCTGCGTGATCTGAGTGATCCTAAAACCATTTTCAAAAATTGACGATGGGATAAACCCTGCTTGAATATCATGTTCCTAAGCTTCGTTCCAACCGCATTAACCATAGTATTAATTGCTATACCCGAGTCAAGGCATCGTGCAAGCTTTCAAAAGGCGAGCCACATAATTGGGAAAGAACACAACACAGACATGTTGAAATGATTTCATACGACATGCAAAGAACGAACTCAAAGCAAAATAATTCATTCCGGCGATGCGCTTCACAAATCAGGCCTTTAGTTCCTATGCGCGTTTTCCAATGCCTCCTACAGCGAAAGCTAAATATCAGATAAAAACTCGGTAACGATGTATAAAAATTGGAACACGCCTACCGTCCATCCCCGCAAACTGCCTTCTGTGTTCTCGTACTTGGACAAGGCTTTCCACCGCACTTCTCGTTCGAGGTGATCTTCATATATCGCGTGCGCTTACCATGGCCGCAGGTGACGTCGCAAGCCGACCAACTTTGCCACGTATAGCGACAATCTATAGGACAGCAAGTATTCGGACAGGATGCTTGTTCTGAGTATTTGTAGTCGCATCGTCCACCGCATTGAGCAGAACTTCGCAGTGACCTCGTTCGTGTTTTGATGCCTACGTACCCACATTTTGCGGTACAGGCGCCCCACTGCCCCCATTGGGTATAAGTGCAATCTCGCCTGGGGCAAGGGGGAGGAGACCGTCGACGATCGCAGGCGTTTGCACGCGCAATAAAGTAGAAGCATATTGTGGCTGTAGCCAATAATCGCCAGAAACTCATAGTGACTAAAATCTCGCGTTGTGGTAATCTGAGGGAAAATTTGCGATCTAAGAGGCTGTAGGGAAGTGGTGGTTCTCAATAGATCGAGTCTCGATGACACACAATGTCAAGTTCAGCGGGCTATTATTGTACAAAACTTCTTCAAAAGTCCGATATTCAATGGACGCGGGACAGAGCTCTAACAGTCTGAGAAGCGGTAAATCCACCAGGACAAAATTCCTTCAAGGAAAATTACAATCCAAAGATGATAAGATATTTATGCGCCGTAAGCCGGTTGCTCAATACCAACTGCTGTAGTGTCTCTCTTTATTTACGGAGCGTTAAATTCACGATATTCCTTCAGATCTTTGTACAGTCGACAGAGCTGTTCCAATACGTCCAACGTACAAGGCGAACGAGCGAGTTTGCGTGATTTGGGGTACTTTCAATCAAGCGAGATTTGCGAGTGCCTTGGAAGATTCTTCGATAATCCAATTCCGCAATCTGTAAAATCTGATTTACAGAAGTAATTCAATTTTAAGTGCTGGTATACAAAATTTCCAATGTTCTGTCTTCGGTCAATCAGCACAACCAGTCGCTTTATTCCGTCATTTTATTTAACCTGGGACAGGTCGTTTAAAAATCGTTCAAAAGCGCGCAAATGCGCAATTCGACTGAAAAGTACTTCAGGGTTTGCTTAGCTCCGCAGTTAAACTATCAATGTCAGCATACCGCCACACACAAAGTATATATGAATTTCTAAACAAATCAGGCCACAAATTCCAAAGGTATTGATTGGTTAATCGCGCCGACTTGACAAGCCTCTGCTCATATTTCAAAATAATGGCGCTTGAAAACTATTAAATCTTGCATCTTATTGGCAATGTCAACATCGCGTTTAGGATTTAATAACTTACAGCAACTCGTTAATCCGTGGTCTAGGGCATGTTCAATGCGAGCAAATGTTAATTGGAAGCCAAGCCGGCGTTTTTTACAAGCAAAAAGCGAAATACGAAGTCGTATTGGTGATTTTTGTCTCGGCTTCCTATATTGGCACTCGTCACCCGCCGTTTCTATGGTGATGGTTAATGTAACCATTCTAAATTGACATTAAAGTTTGGGACTTTTAGGCGCGTTTAAGTGTGCCGAATCGAATTCAAGTAAAATTAAACAAAGGCCTTAACATATTAATATAAGGTTCGGCACATGAAAAGTTCGACGGTTGAAACCGGCCTTAGAGAGTGTTGAAAGTACACATTGGTCATTTTTATTATTAATAAATTTTTTGTCTGTTTTGGTATAAAATGTTGCCGTTGATTCGTGTTTTTTGTAAAATTTTCAACCGACAGCTATTTAATTAAGTTCGCCTGCAATTCTCTTCGCCTGAAATTAACACACCGTCCACATCCAGTTCACTGACGAGGATTGTTTACTAAATCAAAACTCGCGATTAACTTCGGATTAACTTCGGTCTAAACTAGTGACGCTGTCATGCAGCGCGTACATTATTCAAACAAACTTCGACAACGCATTCAAAACCAATATTTAGATCAAAGACATTCAACTAGGGAAAACTAAATTGACAGATTCAATATGGATTAAATACATGGATTAAGGATTAACGCATTATCTATTTTATGAAAGTTTGTTTGTGAAACAAAATCAACACGCCTAAGCCTCTTCCAAATATATTGAACTGAGACTGAAAGATCTTGAGTTCTATTGTACTTTTTATGAGAATTTCATGTTTGTTATTCTATGTTCTATCGTAATGATGTCACAAATAGCTTTTGCAAAATGATGTCATCTATTTCTTGTAAAATGATGTCATACCTAATCGAGAAATATGAAATACTCCCTCATTCAGCGTAGTATTAGATCAGGTGAATGAAGCAGTGCTAAATGAGGTTAAAGAACGTAGGTAGTTGGAAGAACATCCAATGTACGGACATCGTCCCCGGAATACGGGCGTGATCTTCGAAAGGAGCCTTTCTCTAATGCGAATATCCCTCTAAAAGGAACACTGCTCTAATGGCGACATCTCTCCAATACGAACTCTTCTCTAATACGGACATCTTTATTGGAATAAAGACCTCTCTAATATGAACTTCTCTCTAACTTCGACATCTCTTTAATACGGACTTCTCGCTAACACAGGCATCTTGCCTGGAAAACAGACATCTCTCCAATATAAACTCCTCTATAATGGTACATCTCTCAAATGCGGACACTTCTCTAATAAGATCTCCTCTCGAAAAAGGATATCTGTACAGCACAGACAACACACTCAGACGGTCCATATCTGGTATGATTTAGATAAACTTCTTTGCTCAAATTTTTATCGAATACCGCTGTTTAGTTTGGTATTTCCTTTCTAGCGTGTTTCGAAATCGTCGATGCGATGGCTGACGTAATCAGGGTCCTTGATTGAACTACAATCGAGCTTGCGAACAGAACATGCCTGGTCACGTTCCAGAGTAACGAAATGCCATTGATCAGTTGGCAATTCTATTTCAAAGCACTTTCTGCTGTAGTTTCTCAATGTTCCCAAAACAATATAGAAGATATTCTCGTTTTAATATATGGAATACCCCTAATCAGCAATATGAATGTTTTCAAATAGGAACAAATCCTTAGTCACGCTGTAGTGTTGTTGCATGGAAGTGCCAAGTTATGAATTTCACTTGGCAATTATGTGCCTGGCGGTGATTTTAAAATTTCGAAAGATATCAGTGTCGGGTTAACATCATCAACTTATGTAGAACAGGAGTATGTGAATAGAGTTTTTATTGCACCATGGCATTACCATGCTGTTTCAGCGGTTATTAAACCAGCGTATGTCTAAATTGAGCCAATTGTATGTCAACAGCACATGAATCACGCAGATATTATATTTCGTATCATTGTTATATAGAACTTGACGGTGAAAAAAAGGCGCCAATTTTTGCTCTAGCCAACATCCCAATATCTGGAGTGAAGCCTTAATTGGCCTGATTTTCGCGTTAAAACAAGGTGCATAAAAAACTTCGTATTGAATAAATCTTTTTGACTGATCACGGGGAATGGCATATCGCATAAATGCCACACATGCCGAGCTAAGGCGAAAAATGCTATTCGTACTGGTCGATTTATCAAGCTTTCGTGACAATTAAGAACTATATCATACCAAAACTATATGAACGGTTTAAAACTGTGTTTAGTTTGTCACAAATAAAACCATCCATCATCTTAGACGCGTATTTGTTGTGAATGGCAAATACAATCACATCCGGTTGCTCTTGGTCCAAGGTGAAACTGTTTGCTTTTAATAAAATTGCTTCAAAATCATTCTGCCGGCCTTTCAAGACGTATGACTGAGTAATATGATCGAAATCTGTATATATAGTTTAGCTTTGGACACAGTAGATTTTGTAATATAGCTACGATGATAAAGATTAAATCATACGGAAATTCATGACTGTATAAACAGGATTTGTACTGCGAAATATTGTGATTTGTATGATAAATTCAAGGTTACTTCGAAGCAGAATGACCTATGCCCTTTTGGAACCAAGGTTTCCAGATAATATTGCTTGACTGTAAGTATAACTTGCATGCGGGCATGCATCTAGGATGGATTATTATGACCCTGAGTTTACAGTATGCCAGGCTACAGTGGCCAAACAAACTAAACCAAGTCATTTGCGAGAAAATACATGCTCTAGCTTGTCCTGTTAATCCCTTGGAAACTAGTAATTTACAAGTGTTTATTATCCCTATTACACAACAAAGTTTAAATATGAAATTGTATATGAAATACTATGAACATATCAAAGATCCATTGACCATGAAACAATGCATATACGTTAAAGCATGCATTTAGACTGATTTAGTATATATACAGAACGCTTAGCGTACCCGAGCAGCAAGAATCCGTCAATGCAGAACAGTATCTCGGAGGCAATTGCATAGTTTGCTTTATGGGCACAGATATACACGCGTAAAAATAATCGTTAATGTTAAAAACAGGAGTGAATAATGTTGTGCTGCACCCTGTGAACAGTATTGTTATTAACAATGTTGTTGAAGCTTGTTGAATGGCATCAATGTTGATGCAACTTGTTGCAAGAACATTGCATCATGATTGCATCAACATTGATGATTCAACAAGCTTCAACAACATTGCTAACAATACTGTTCCCAGGTGCAGCACAGCATTGTTCACCACTGATGCGACAATCTGATCAATATTTGGCCGTGTAGGCAATAAGAACTTCATAAACTGTGAAACTACTTAATAATATATATTCCAAACTGCTCCCCTGCATGAGACAATCTATTGAAGGTTTTACTAGCATTATATATATGGATACCGTGGCATTTGGAGAAGTGTTGCAATCTCTGGGGTACAGCCAACCAATAGGAAAGAAAATGGTGATAAGAGGGGAACTGCAAGAGCGGCCGGGCCAATTGAACCGGCGAAAGAGAATTGAGAGAGCTTAAACCCCAAGGGCCTCGTATGAAGATGCTGTACAGATCACCAGCCAATTGTATAACGCTAATGTCGAACACAGATGAAATTCAAAAGGTTACTGATAGGCCAAATGACAGACTATAGGGAGAGCACCCGCGGTGATCGCCATCAGAGAAATATGAACTTAGCACCCAAAGAGCTTGGTAGTTTTACATTCTGTTTAGCACAATACCTTCCATTTCCACATCGTTGAGTTTGCGTTGAGGGACACGACGTTCCTCCGCAGCTTGGATTCCCCGAAATTCTTGGGCTGCGTTTTCGCGTTCCGTACTGACAGGTGGCCGAGCACGAACTCCAAGATCCCCATGAATACGAACAAGAGATCGGACAGCAAGTCCCGGGGCAAGACGTCGATTGCGAAGTGCTGTAACAACTACCACCGCAGTACGCGTAGCTTAGTATGCTACGATATCTAGTCTTGGTGCCAGAACTACCGCAAGTTTTTGAACACGAAGACCAGCCGCCCCATGAAGACATCACGCAGTTTCGAGGGTAACATCTTCTACGACGTCGGCGCCGTCTCCGCCAGCCGTCGCATAGTTCATTTAGAGCAATAAGTTGGATAAGAACGATGAAGAT